ACTGAAGAGCTAATTCTTACCTGTCCAGGTCGGAGTCTGGCTGTGGTCCTGATTTATTTTGAGAGGAAACATTCTGAGTAGATGGAGCTTCATTGGTGTCTGGAGGAGAGTCGACTCTGCAGATGACAGAACGTCAGATTCTTAAATTTTAACTATTAAATATCAGTAACGCATTGTAGCTAAATTGGAAATTTTTCGAACTTTTGAAACAATACTTGCAGTATCCTAAATGTAAGCACAGACCATTAAAGCATCATCTGCTAGGTGGACCAACAGGCCAACCTCTTGATGTAACAGTTAGAAAGATGTATAAACACTTACCTGTTAACAGACTCAGCCTCTGGTTCATCAACAGTTATGGGAGTCATCAGAGAAAGCAGCTCTTGAGTTTCCTCATCTTGATCATACTACAACGCAGCACAATACAAACTCTGTCAACAGCTGTCATAACTGACTGCACTTTATCTTGCAATTTACAGATTGACTGTACCTCAAATTTGAGCTTGGTTCCACTGATATCCATGCGAGCGCTCAGGCATTCTCCCACCACCATGCCAACACGCCTTATACGCACCACACTGCTGTCCAGGTGGCTCTGCATGCCGCCCAGCATACACTGTAGTAAGTCTGAGAAAACAGAGAGAGGAGAGCTGACAGCAACAATCTTTATTATCCTTCATATAATACCTTGTTACTGCTGTTGAAACAAAACCTGCCCTGTTTTTATGTAGATTTACTGAGTGAGTTAAGGCACCAAACACCGTTATTTGTACCTGAGCGTAGCTCCTGTAGCTCAGAGTCCTTCAGCAGACTTACACAGAGCAGTAAGGCCTTGCTGACATACAGCTGCTGCTCTAAAGGTGTGTGCTTCACTGCACTGGGGTTAGCCCAGGCCTGGGACACAGACCGTAACACCTAAGAACACACAAATAAGCATCAAAATCATCAGTATCTACACAACATGATATAATTTAGCTGCTGAACATCCTGATGTACTCACCTGGATGAGGAGCGGCCTTCGCTCCCTGTTTGCTGCGAGGTAACCCAGAACAATTCTCAAGACTCGAGTCTGGGGAAAAGACATGCTTCATATGATATTTACAAGATAAACACAGGGTTTACTGTCAAGATGCGACTTATCTTCTTACCTCATACTTGTACTGTAGTAAAAGCAGTTTATGAGTGATGACATACTGGGCTTTTTTATTTGTCAACACCAGATTCCCAATGATCCTGCCCAAGGCATCAGGCCTAAAATAAGAGGCAAGAGACTGGTGTCATTAAAGGCGGACAGAAAACTGATAGCTAGAAGCCACATAAACTGCTAGCTGTTTAAATGTGTGTGACTGAACCACTTTACCCGCTAACAGCCTGCACCAGTCCAGTGAGCACGCTCTCCACCCACCGCTGTGGAACGTTCTCCAGCAGCTTCCAGCAAACCCTCTGCCACACCATGTCTGAGCGTGTGTAAACAGACAGCCGAGGAGCCATCACTGACAGCATCAGACCTGTAGAAGGAAAAAGAAATGCCAGAGGAGGATAAAAAGGGATTCTGTGCCTCTAGAGATCTTGCAATAAATGGACCAAGAGTCCATTCATTCCTGTAAAGTTAGTCAAAGCAAAACATCACTAATGTGTGGCTGACAATAAACTTGGAGAGCCAAGAAAAGTTTGCTATGACCAAATATTTCACCACTGCTAGCGGTCAACAGCCAATGAAAATTCAGTACTTCCTTATTTTCTTAATGGTGAATCGAATTTAATAGATGATATTTATGCTAATCGTTAAATGTTTTTATTTCTTTAAATTAATCTGAAATGATACTAGCTGTAACTATTGACTATTTTCATTATAAATTTGGTGCTTATTTTTTCATTAATCAATTAATTCTTTGGTCTTAAAAATGCCAGATAATTGTGAAAAATTACATCATAATTTTATATTACTCCAGGTGACATCTATGTGAAACCAAATATATTAAATATAATATAATGTAAAACAAACAAAATGTTAAAGAAAATGATGCCTGCCAAATGTATGCCTTGTCTTTTTGTTAACGTTTGTAAGATTTTTTTTTTGTTACATTACATTATTACCACACACCACTATGTAATTTCCACCTCTAGAGCTAATGTTGCTACCCATCAACCAAAAAGGCTCGCCGTATTACAGGAAACGACACTAAACTCACAGGTTTTTGTACAACTTGTGTGACCAAACTCACCACTGTGGCCCTGGATACACACTTTTCCAAATGTCTGAGCCACAAACGTCAAGGAGCAGTCTGTGCCATCTGTTAAACAAAGTCAGATAAATAGATTTTTATATCACAACAACGAAAATCTTTGACACAAGCTGCATACTGCAAACATTGCAAAGTGCTTTTTGGATGTTCCCTCGCCTTTGAGTGCTTGACAGGTCCGCTCCAGGGCAGTGAGCATCTCTGTGGCCAGTAGTGGGTAGTACTGCTGAGGAAGAAAAAGAGGCCTGTTGTTTGGATGTAATCTGTTGGCCGTGAGGTCCGGCAGCGCTACAATACGTCCCAGCAGAGTCTCTCGGAGCTGGGGGGAGTCGGAGGGTCTTGCTTCCAGACAGAAGGACCACAGCAGGTCAGCGAGTCGACCACCACGAAGGAAGTTCTCAGTGATGCCGACCAAGTGGTTCAGATTTGTGCAGGGTCTGTGGTGGGAAGACGGCGTAATAAGTGAACAGACAAAATGATGAACACGCCTCTCATCCCTTACCCACCACCACCCACCTCAGCTCTCCTATTCCCTCCATCAGCACCAGCAGCGCCTGCTCCGGAGGGCCTCTGAGGAACAAGCCGTCCCATAGCTCTGTGCGCTGGGCTGCTGTGAGGCCGTGCAACCAGTCGGCCTGGATGTTGCTGACAAGGAACTGAAGGGTCCGAGTGAAGTGAGCTCTCTTGAACTCTGCCCGCTGAACTGAAGTGGTCCCACTCTCTGGTCCTTCATCCAAGTAAGAGTGGAGTGTTTGCAGAGCAGGAATGATGTCTTTGCTGTCTGTGGATGTACTGAGGGTCCGGAAACACTGGGCCACTGCCAGGCGAACCTCAGCATTTGGGGGAAGGGATTCCATCTTGGTAAATGGTAACTAGCTTGTTTTACCTCCTAAACAAACACATTAAAAAGGGACATTTCACTCTGAACAGTTTCTACCAGAGGTATGACTGCCAACAGTTTATTTTCACACATAAACAAACACACACCAGTTGACCATTTATAACATATATACATATATATGTCTGCAGATTAACGTTATAATAGGTGGCTATTCAACTATTTTCGGCATATCTGTAAATTCAGCCTTCACACATGCTACGAATAATGTGTTCTTGTGGTTTTAGGTGAGCTCTCCCTTTACTCCTCTAGCTGTCATTGAGAGTAAAGCTTTTAAATGAAGAGAATTAGCTTCAACTGTTAGCCTCCCGTAATGGATACGCACCTCGGCATTTCCATCAACAACATAAAACAGACATTATGTTACATGGCGACTGCGGACGGGATTTATTTGCAGTTCCTACTGTCGGTTCACGTTTTAATGAAAATGTCCCGCCGGTGATGCTTCGCTCGGTGTCCGTGTGCCCCATCAAAATACGTCCGCGGTGAGCAACAATCAGGCAGAGGTTCCGGGAACAGCCTACCGGTGTGGTGTTCAAGAACCAAACTTTTTTTTTTTTTTTTTTTAAACACTTCTTGATGCTCCGTATATCACAACTAGTTTAGTCATCATAAATCCATTAACAAATAAGCTAATTGGCGAATTAGTCCATTAAGAAATGTGCATGTATATATAACAATTGTTTTAAACCAGGTATAGGTGATGAGAAACAGTAACATCAATTAGGCATTTTCTGAAGGAATTGGGGTGTGAATGCTGGATATTGAAGAGCTGATACTAAACAGCGACACTGGCTTTAAAATGTATGAAACATGTGGACAATTATAAGGTTTGTTAACGGTGTGTGTTTGAGGCAGCTGCCACCCCAGCTTGGTGTCAAAGGCTGTCAAATTTAACACATTTATTTAGATTAATTAAAAAAAAGTGTTAACATTTTTTTGTTATGGCCACATCTTAGAATAAGTGATATGTTTATGTTAAAAAAAGATTTTCTGACAAAACAATAATCGTATATATTTGATTGTTTGCTAATAAATCAGCAGAGTTGACAAGTTGCCACCTCTTAAAGTGTCCATGCCATCCTCTGACTACCACATGGATATTTGTGTAGATCTGTAGGCCAGGGAGCAAGTGTAGGTGGGCAACTGTCTCATAATTGCAATGTTTTGGCCATGTCTTACACAGGACCTCAGAAGATGATGGTTTGATTCATCAACTTCAAAAAATCATCAAAAATGTCTTTTTATTTCCAGTGAAATTTCCACAACTATGCAGCTACATTTTCAGAATGACTAGTCATCCAAATTAAAACAAAATGATCACATAATGTGTGGGCTCCTGCAGTACATATCCACAACCTGCAGAGGGGGCTGAAAGGTTTTAAGGACCCAGTATCAGGTTTATGGTGCTGAGCAAACCCAGAGTATGGAGTTTATGCATGAATGGGAAATTAATGGGTATTGCAGAAAATTGCCGGACTAACTTATTATTATATTATTATATTTCCATTTTAAATATTCATTTTAGTTCCTATGGAACTGGAAGCCAGATTATTTTGAAATACTTACCTGTGGCTTTATCAGATACTTAACATTAAAAAAAGCAAATCCCCTCAAGCATTACTTTTGATTTATAGTGACTTACCATCTGAGCTTTACACATGTGAGCACACTGTACTGTGTCAAATTAACAGTATGAGTGAGTACAGAGTATGTGTGGTAAAATCAAGCCTAAAGGCAAGCAGCAAACCATATATTCTGCTGCTCTTCTCCTCCTCCAGAATCTATACAGCACATGCACAGGTCACACTAAAACATAGTCAAATGTAAAAAAAAAAATGAGGCAACCAAACACAGGGTCATTTTATTCCATTTATTTTTCTAATCTTACTTTCACTGCTTACCTTTAAATTTTTCTCTTTTTACAATGACTGAAATTATATTTCCCCAGTAACAATTAGGATTAGATCATTTGGGGGATCTTCAAAAATAATATACAGCTGTAACCAATACTGTTATAATTTATACATTTATCTCTGAAAATAGGAATAAATTTAACTTTCTCTTTTCTACAATATTCTCTTTTTATCTTCCCATGTCACATAATGGCAAGCCATGCACTACTACAGTAGTGATGTTTGTGCCTTAAGCAAACTTTCTTTGGACACTGGAAGTGAGCGTGAGTGAGAGAGAGAGAGAGAAAGTTCACAAAAATGACAATTCATATTTACAGTTTAGGTGTCATCATTATAATTTAACAAACTGACAGTCACGTGGTCAGTGCTTTCCCCAGGGCTCATCATCAGGTTAGTTTAGAGGCAAAGTCTGAGACACAGAGGCACAGTGTTTAGACTAGCAGGCCAGTTTGTTTGTTTTTTCGTTTAAGGGCAGAGCCTGTCGATTTATGATTTATCAGAACAGGAAAATGTTAACCAAAAGCGTGATCACGGACCCTGATAGATAAAATGATCGGTTTCAGTTCAAACATCTGTCTTTGGTCATTTTGTAAGCAGGAATTTGGATCTGGTTAAAGTGCAATCACCTTCAGCTCTGCTAAAAGGGAATGTTTTGTCAGCTCTGTGGTCTCACTGTCTAGTTATACTGTTGCAAGTCATGTTAGTCCCCAGACTCTGTCAATTGCCTGCTGTGTTCAAGTCTCATCCCATTTCCTCTTTGTAATGCAAAAAAAAAAAAAAATGACCCATTGCTATAAAGTATTAAATCTGTTGGGGCAAACCTCCAGTCACACTAATAGGTCGGAAGCTGAACTCAGCAAGCCTGGGAGTGAGGTTTTTTTTTTTAGGTGTCGTGTGTTGACATGAGGTCTCACAACCTACAGCTCCACTAATAGAAATTATAGCATATGATTCGTCAGTCAAAACATTAGATCTTAATCAGAGATATACAATAAAAAATAAGTGTTTCCATGCAGGACCTGACTCCATCTGGGAAGACAACAGTAGAAACTGCAGACTCTGCCACGTATCTAAACCCTGAAGAGGTCACAGCAACCTCAGCATTATTGAAGAGTGCAACGACCTCGACAAACGACCATTCTGAGCAGGTCACATTCAAGCTTTTGCACACGATGGCAAGTCACCCAAAGAACAGTACATCTTTGCTATGAACATTTCTCTTAATTCAATAAATTCTCCCACAGATTCATTCAGCGTGAATTAATCTCTCCCTTGTGAATTCAAAAATGTACAAACGTGTTTTCAGCAGAACAGATCACAGAGTGTGAGTTGTCGTTTGTGTCAAATGATGAATAAATATATCTGCATGTTATTTAAAACAAGAAAGAAAAAAAAATAACCAACAGGTACTGTACACGCTACATGCTAGAGAAGAATACAGGCAGCTGTCTCTCAGCATAAGACAAGAAGAAGAAATGTTCTTTTCTTCGGACTATAAAAATACCTAGAATCTAGAATGAGTGTAGAAAAAACTTTACATGTACAAGTCATTTACATCCAAGGCCATTTTTTCCATGGAGTGGCAGGTGAAGAAGAGCAGTGACACAGAGGTGAGAAGGGTGAAAAATAGGAATTCTTAGCATATTGGTGCAGAACGCCATGCTGTTTGGACAAAAACAACCTCCCACGACAACCGTTCAACTATAAATCCATCAAGGGGTCCGGTGGGTGATTCCGACACCTGTGTCCAGTTTCTGAGTCTGAAAGAAATGTCGAAAAAGCATTGTGAGATGGCCGCACAGTACCAACAAGCACGGCATTAGTCCAGAGTCAGTCCCATACATCTTCAAAGAAGCAGATGTCGCTTCAGCAGAGGAAATAAAGAGCAGATTTGTCTCATCTGCCCTCCACCAATGTCCGCTTTCTTGCCCAGCATTATTGCTAACAAAGTCTGCCACGTCTCTTCAGTATCATGTCTGCAGATCTGGTCTGGAAAAAGATTAAACTGGCCAATAGCCAGCAAAAGAAAGCTCATCTGAATTCCTGATGGCTGAAAAAATACAGTATGTAAATGAAATACATCCTAAGACATGGCTGCATGTTTGGTTTTTTTAGTATTCTTAAATATTTCGAATTCAATATGGCATTAAACTTAGTGTGATGCATTTTCTTCTATAGCGTGATGGGATGTCTGCATGTCAGTAGCAACAAATCCCGCACACTATCATCTTCATATGGGCTTCAAAACTATCTTCATTTATGATTTGATCCCTTCAAAATAAACATTTTCTTTCTATTAACATAACAATAATGAAATCAAAACAAAACTTAGTGCAAAGTACAACAGTTTGATTCACATACAACTTGTCGAATGTCAATATTTTTACCGACATCAAATCACTTGTGCAGCAAAAAAAAAAAAAAAAAAAGAGAAGGTTGGTCACCTGGATAAACTTGCTCCCCATCGCTTTCACTCAGCAAGAGAACACTGGAGTCAGGTGGGCTGCACTATATATAAAACTACACTACAATTCCCAGAACCACTCATCAGTTTCCCTTCATGCTTAGTTCAAGTGTTTGGAGAGTTTACAAAGTGAACTTGTGAGTATATATTTTGTCAGTTACAGCACCCAGTCCACACTTAGTGAGATATGTTTGAGTTGTTTACTATTTGTGACAGGGAGTAATGGGAAATATAGTATTTTGTTTTTTTCCACTGGAGGTTTCCAGCCCACCTAAGCTCCAGGACCCTGTTTCATTGTAAAATAAAATTTAATGAGATGAGGCAAATTATAAACCACCCAGTTCTTTCATTTGGGGCATTTAAGCTCATATTCCTCCTCCTAGTGTCACCAAGCTTTTTTCAAAACCTTTAAGTAACACTGAGTAAAAAAAAAGGAAATGTCAAACCCCTCACACACTCACACTCACACACACACACACACACACACACACACACACACACACACACACACACACACACACACACACACAAAACCCTCAGGGCATTTCTTATCATCGACCCCTAGAAATGTCCCTCACTTGGGTTCACTGGAAAGACAAATGTTTTAAAAGGACAGAACACACCGTTATAGGGACCGGTAGGCAGCACAGCAAGCTTTTAACCTATTAAAAAGACAAATTCAAAAGAGAAATTGCTGCTTCAATTACCTGACCCATGCTTCATGTGGCTTTTCTCGCTCGTGAATAAAAGCACCATTCAGCCTGGTTCAGGAGATCACAGCCCCACATACCACCACCATCCCAGTTAACACTACACTGAGGCATGTATGGTATGTAGAATTCATCAATACTTTGATCACCTTTCATTTAAGGCCTTTCGGTACTGTATAATTGTCTGATCGTTGTTTATAACTCAATCAAACATTGACACTTTTCTTTTGGAAAGGGACAGGAAGATTTTCTACTCTTTCTGATCTTTGCACACATTTACACATTCACTCACTCAACAGGGGGAGACTCGGGTCCCTCTGGCCAAATACATGGAAGTCACCAGAACCCAAGTGTACTCAGGAGGGTTAACACATACACTCACAGAGAAGCACAGACTCAAGGGATATCTAACTGAAAATTGCTTAGCCACGGACTTCTTAGAAATCTTAAGTTCTCCTTTGGGGGGGGATTGGATGAGTCGAGTGTGTTGTTGTTTTCCTACCAAACTGATGTGAGAATATTTTTACATCCATTCCTGGTGGTTCTCTTTTAGCCAAGTATTTCTAACAGCCTGAGGAGTAACTGTGTGTGGCTGTATGGTGTCTATTTGACCTCAAGGATGGAGGGGTTGGACTCCATGATGGCCACGATGATTTTGTCAATGTAGTCCTGGAGTCTGTAGTTGATCTCCTCTTGTTTGTGGATAGCCTCCATCAACTAGAAGTAGAGAAACAGCAGTTAGTGGAGATAACTTACTCAAATTCAAATAAACAGATGAACTGACACTAAATGTTTCACAATATCTTTTTCTAAACCCACCTCCGTACGAGACACAGAGTTGATCTCAGCTGCCAGGGAGTCGGAGAAGGAGGCCGACATCAAGTTCTTGGCTCCCTGGATGCTCAGGTTGATAATCTGGCCGTTTAACTCATCATTCTGCTCCTTCAGACTGCGGTTGTCCTGGAGAGGTTACGTCAAATGTAACGTATCATAAAAACTGTACAGGATTCTAAATTATTCTTCCATTTCAAATCCAGTCTGGCTAGAGGGGTAGAATGAGGATTGCTTAGAATGTGTGCGCTACCTGTTTGAGTCGTTTGATCTCTTGCTCCAGCTCGGCTTCGCGGGTGCGGGTCTGATATTCCTGCAGCCCTGCACCGGGCGAGCGTCCCCTCTTTGCTTCAGCCTCCAACTTGTAGAGCTGTAGGTGCTCAAGCTGTTTACGCAAGTCTTCAATGAGCTGTGGTACAAACAAATCAAGACACATTAGTTAGTAAAGTTATTAGTAATCTCATAAAGTGAGGGCAAAAAACACTTGATTCTTTTAAGTAATGTCATAATTTAGACAGAAATATTCAACAAAGGACAGTGATGTTGTCTGATGCTGAACTGGAATATTTTGTATACAGAGTACCGTTTATTTTGTACATAAAGAAACAAGTCCCACCTCCTGAGTGCACTCCTTCTCCTTCTGGCTCTGGTGGCGCTCATGGCTCAGCTTGTCAGCCATCTTCTTGCGGGACTCTGTCTCCTCCTGCAGCCTGTCAGACATGACTTCTGTCTCATCCTGCAGCTTCCTCTTCTCCTAGAAAATTAAAGAAAACAAAAAAAGAAGTTGAGAGTGAAGAGTATTGAGACAGGGAAGAAATTTCACCTATGAGAAAGACTGAGGAAGGCAAGACAAACCAGGTGGTATTATTGCTCTCACCTCCTCTAGTCTCTCAATGTTTGCTCGAAGACAAGGGACACATGACCTCAGCTCACTGTTCTCCTCATCCAGCTGCTGCAGCCTGAGAGACACACAAAATTCCTTTAGACAGACGCATAAGACAAATACCTACAGTGCAGCCACAAACTAACAGCATCTGCACTGTTTGTTGAGAATGACAATGCTATACCACAGAAAAACAGCTTACATCCAGTGACAAATTATAGCCAGAGGGTGGCAGTGTAGAGCCATGATTCCTCCAACAAACAACATGTGAAGCAGCGGTGTCACAATGACCAAATGTGTTTTTAATATACCAAAATAACAAACAAAACAAAACGTACAGCCTACTGAAACTGGTTTTCTTGTCAATGTCCCGTTAAAATAATCACAAAGTGTCAAAAACTGCTAAATGGTTGATCTTTTCTTTTTTTTGATCTTGAAAATGTGTTATCTTACTCATCAAAATAATAAACACAAGGATCAAATTGTATGTAATAACCTGGTAGCATGTGCAAACCTTACACGGAATATAAATCAATCTTTTGTACAGTATAGAAATATACTGACATTTTTCCCACTGCCACAAAAGATATACAAATATTATTCTATATTTCTCATCTGCTCACCTGGCCTGCAGGTTTTCCAGCTCCAGCCCCCTCTCCCTCTCCAGCTTGACCATAGCCTCCTTGTGACGACGAGTGTCTTGCTGCAGTAGCTCGTCAGCCTGGACTTCCTGCTCCTTCAGCTGCTCCTCCAAGGCATTGGCCCGGTGCACCAGCTGAAGGTTTTCCTGGCGCAGTCGCGTGTGCTGCTCCCCCGATGCCTCGGACTCTTTTTCCAGCTCTGCCACTCGGCGCTCAAGGAGTAGCACCTGGGAAAAGTAAATGTTTCGTGGTTAGCGAAACAAAAAACGTTGATAGAGTAATCTAACTATGATGCATCAACAATAGTACCGATGTGTCTGCCCAACTGTGACACAAATTAATGTGTGTAACCAGAGGGATGTGAAAGCTTATCCGTTAACTTCCTTGACAGATGAGCTCTCACCTTGTCTGTGATGTCATTGTCAGCGAGCTCCAGGATGTCCCGCGTTAAGTCGCTCATGGTGTCCAGAGTCATCGAGCTGTTCTGCAGGAGATGCCTACATGTGGGGAGGGAAATTTTAAAACGACGATTGTCCCTGGAGCCAGTTTACATTTGATAAATTGCCATTTCCTTACGCCAAACATAAACTATCTATTACAATAACACGAGAAATATGAACCCTTCGGAGCCACTATTTAGCTTACCTTGCCACTTTCTTGCTGGACAGTCTCTTGCCAGCGCTGGATGGGGAGATGGAACAACAGGAAAAATGGTCAGGAAGAGAAAGGGGATAGAGGAAAGAGACACTATCTCTTGCTATTCGTCCTATCCACCCCCCACCCCTCTCTCTGCTAGCAAAGGAGCCCCACAGACAAAAGGGCATGTCGAGGTGGTTCTTTACTAGTAAATCACTGGATTTTTTTTTGTTGAAACTAAAACTACAAGATATTCACACATCACAGCAATCTAACACAATCACAGCAGCATTTATTAACAGTGTCTAACAAGTGCTGAAATAGGAACAGTTTTGCTAGACAACATTACAGAAACTTAAACTAAAGCCTGAAACAGGAGTTTCTAAATTATTCTTAAATTCCTACTAGTGAATTAAAACATTCTGAATGTGAAATTCAGTTGTAGAATAGTTTAAATAGGATTTCAGTATTACTAAGTTTCTGTAATAGAGCCACTGGTCAGTAATCCTGGATCAGCAAGTCTGTTCCGATAAAAGCACGCTCTTTGAAAAGCTTTACTCCACTACCAGCAGCCATTCTGCAACAAATCAAATGAAGCATGGAGATAATGGCATGAAGAACCGAAAATACCGAAATGGACACCACTTACCTGTGATACCCGGGTTTGTTTCATGTTTAATCAATCTATTAAGCTTATTTTTAAATGAGCAAAATGTTCATCATGTATGAGCGACAAATCATAATGTACAGATTGCAACAATGGGAAGGAGCTGGCTACCACCATATTAAATAAGTGTGTCATAGCCACTGAAATGCCATGAGTGAGTTTTTCCATCACTAAATGCTAAAAATTAACACAAAAAGAGAATGCAGATGAAAAGAGATTGAGAACAGTGTGAGGTAAAATGATCTTAAAAACAGACCCACAAAATATACCATAATGTCTGTGTGAAAGTACAATCTGTGACGTGACACACGCCATGTTGTTGCTAGTCCAACACAGCATGCATACATTATGACAACATGCACCATACTGTATCTAATCAGCACTGCAAACACATCCACACAGCTTGTAATCGGAGTAGGTTGTGAATGACGTGTTACCTAGTCATCTCTAGGAAATTGAGGCGAGTCGAGAGGTCCTCGAGACGACTTATTTGTTTGTGACACTGGCTACAGAAAAAGTCCAGCGCCTCTTCCCTGAGGAAGCTCTGAAAGCAGTCAGGGAGAGGAGCAGGTGCACTGGAAAGAGGAAAAAGGGAGGAAGAGGAGGAGGAAGTGGTGAGTGACGGACAAGAAGGGGTGCACTGAGGTGGGACAGGACACCTCTTGGGGTGCAGGGAGGTGTTAGTGAAATCCAAGAGTAAAGTGTGAGGGCCACAGTGGGAAGGAGACGTGACACAGACTGCAGTGTGGCTGTGATTGGTTTTGTGGATAGTGTAAGGAAAAAAATTTATTCTAGGAGAAAGAATGCAGTGATGTCTCTTCAGAAGAGCTTTTTTTTTTCTTTCCCTGCTGCCACACATTCTCGTCTACTCAACTTTGACCATGTGACAATTCAATTAAAAAAAAAAAAAAAACATAAGCTCTCAAGCAAACAAATAAAAAGGTTGAGTATTTCATTGTTTGTCTGTACCCTCTCCTCTCCTCACATCACCTCTACCAGCTAAATGTTTATTCAGGGAGCTAGTCAGGTCTGAATGATGCAACACCCTGGCACAGGTTCCTGTTTATGTAGGCAGAAACAAGGCATGGCAGACTTTGAGTGAGTGTCAGTGGATGCTCATATGCACTGCTGTACCGAGCCATTTTCTTCAGTGTGAGGGATGACTCTGTTAAATAATGCCTACACTTGATGTGCGTTTCTGTAGCACAGAGGCGACCCAACAGAGTGTGCGTGTTGTCAAAGTGCTGTAATATGTAGATGGATAAATGCTGGGGGTGTGTGTAGGCGGCTCTGCTACATGCGCCAACAATGAGCATGATTGGCTCAAAACACAGTGACGCATTCACACCGAGTGGGTGAAGTTTGTGGGATGCAGTTATTTTTCATGTATGATTTTTTTTTTTTTTTTTTTAGCCCTAACCACCATGCAGATTTCTGTACAACTTGTACACGACGTAATCTTTCACATGCTGTATGTAATTTACAGATTGAATTTGAATCATTTATTATTCATGGCTCTATCATTTGAGGATGCCTAATTAACCTACATTATTTTATCCTTTTGTGTATCCTTTTCCACTTGGGTGTATTCTTTACCACTTTCTGTTACAATGAGAGCATCATATTATATTCAAGTAGCTTTAGCAACTTCAAATGATAAAAAAGTAAGTACTTTTGTTATTACTATTGTTGCCAACCCAGTTAGAGCAGCTTATTTCCGTATAATAGGCTAGAAAAACTTAGGCAGTTAGCTGTTAAGAGCTTCCTGGCAAGGCAAATCACGGAAATATCACCCAAGTGGGAATTACGCATTATCCGACTTTGGTTCTCTGATGAAAACAGAGGAGGAGGGAGGAAAGATATGACTGGGAAAAGTCTACAACAAGGACTTCAACACAAAAGCATGGTGCCATAGAGAGGAGTGTGTATGTGCATAAGTGTGGCCGTTTTGGCGTTGCTAAAAGTCAGCCTGTATCTGAACTACTGCAGGCCAGACGTAAACCTGTTTAGATACTGCTTAAGATGTCTAAAGTCAGTGCAACAAAACATCCACCTTCTGTCTGTTCCAGAAGGACTGGCAACATGCGCCAACCTTAAGACTTAAACAGTGTGAGTGTAAAACCTTTAGAATACTCATGAAAGGGGGCACTGTTTTAGAACAGAATTTAGTCCAATATTCACATTTTTAATCACTTAAGAATAATAACTTGAGACTAGGACTACTGGAATGAACTTTGCATACACTTAATTTATCTTGCCCTTCACCAAGAAAGGAGGCAGATAAGGGTGGGAAGGACAAAAGACGTCTCCAGAAAACTCTTATCAACATTTGACCTCGGTGTCTTTGTTCAAAGAGAAACATTTTCTCTGAAGAACACGAACAGAAGCATTTAAACCTGAGAATATAACAGTGTCACACATCTTATCGGGAAGGGTTGATTAAAAAAAAAGAAAGTTGACAGCCTGGTGAAAACAATATTAATTATTCACACCAGTTAGATAATCTCCAGGCTGTTTACATTGCAGAGTGACTTTGTCCTCATACAAAGGTTTCAGATGTGTAGGGAGGACAAGCTTGTACCTGGGAGAGAGCAGTGAGGAGCCATTGACCTGCTCAGAGGGCTGCACGAGAGGGGAGCCGCACTGCCCCTCCGTCCCCTCCACGCGGCTCTCCAGTAGCAACTCTGAGGTATTACTTTCGCCAAAGTCCTCGAAGTGCTCCTCCTCTCCACCGATGACGGACACCAAGGAGTGGTTGTGGTGCTCAGAGTTCAGGGAAAACCTGCGGGACACACAAGAATGGATTACTGTGTTAGTGTGTGCATGCTCACTTGTGTATACAACAACAGTGTAGTTAACTTTAGCCAGAAAACCAAAAATAAAGGATGTGCCAGGTTTAGGTGTGTTATAAATGGACGTCCGACTGGGTATAAACAGAAGCCTTGTAACCGTGCATTTCAAGAAACCCCAATCTCAGTCAAACCAAACAGAGCCCATCTTTTTTACTCCATTCAAAGAAAATAGACACGCTACAGTGCTTGAGCAACAGTGTCTGGGTAACAAGTTCTAAAATGGCTGGCTAAGGGTTGGTGTGTTGGACCCAGATGCCTGGAAATGGCTTGAGCATACAGTAAATCCCAAACAAGTACAATTAATCTTCCCCCAGGAAGAGCGGCAATCTGGACAAGTTCGACAATCACTTGTCTTCAAAGGTAATCTCTTAATTCACATTAATCCCAAAGGCTGCTTTGGCTGAAACAAAATGTCTTGTGCCTTGCTGGTGATGCAAAACCATGATGGAAACACTTGAGACATGTGAGAGGAACCTTCATGTAGTTTGATTTGGGTTAAGTTTAAGAGATGTCCATAAGTGTGCTGACAGAAAAGGCTGTGACTCTGGCTTTCAGAATTGGATGGTTATCTTGCACAACTGAACAGAAGCCTACTTGGTGGATCTGAAAGGCTTTTCTGGAAATCTGAGAGAAGAATTTTAGTAAATAAACTATCTTATGTTCGCTTACCAGGAAAACTGGCTTTTCCTGTTGTCCAACAGGATACGTTAGATGTCTTAAGCACACACAGGACGAGGATGTCCAAATCAGCAGAAAAGTTTGCTTTCTCAGCACACAGTGACAAAGCCCATTTCGCTTGTTTACAAAACCTTTGTCCAACTCAAGCTAAAATACCACCTTAATTTACAAATAAGTCATATACTGACAGTCAGACTCTGCCAATGACACTCTTCAGACTCTTTTAACCAGACAACAATGCAGTTTAAACTGCCCTGAGCAAACATTGGACTCAACTGGTTAAATAGTTAAACAACCGCAGCCACTTACCCTTTACTCATGCTCTTACTACTTGGCCCCATATTGAGGTCCCTCACACAGAGGGACGGCGAAGAGAGAGAACGCATCTTTAAACGCCCTCCACTGCCCTGGCGTGTAAGCCGCGGAGCAACTGGAGTTAAAACCCCAGACAACCAGAGTGGAATCCTGAATATTCACAGGTTACACCAATTTAAAACAAAAAGCACAACTCTCCAGTTTGGAGAAAACAAAACGGTCTGCCTCTGAAAACGCCTAAGCCTTTGGTCCTAATGAGTTGGTTGCCAATCTACAGCGCCACATGACTGATGTTGCATCTCCTGTGCCACCAGACAGACTTGAGGCTGTACCAGAAAGGGTTGACTGTGAGTGGGTTAATCAGATTTGAGGCTAAGCAACAGCCAACAGACAGTCCTGCTGACCGTCCAAGGGCCAAATGTGTGTGGGGACACGGGTAGGACAGAGGAGGGTGGGGGAGGCTAATCCTGTTAGATTCTTAATCCCCAGTCTAGCGCATATACTCCTACCCTGAATATGGCTTGAGGTAGCTGGGCTAACTAGGCTGCTTGACAAACTCTCAGTTTATTTACTGACCTTTATGTAGCATTCACTTAGTCAATGTTGAATCACTTGAAGTAGCTAAATGTTTTTGACTTGGAAAACTCCTTAAATGTTTGGGAGTCTCCGTTCATAGACTGTCAAGATATTCACTGGCATGATAAAGTCAATGACAAATAAGGAGAGTTTCTACGTTCTGGGAAGCGAGATAGCCGACAGCCTGCTAAAATGATGGAATATATAAGGCCATGGAGTCATACGATATGAGGGTTAGGTTCCCGTCAGCAGCGGCCTTAGCAGGGCGATTGTATGAGTAAGTGGAGGGGATTCCAGTTAGCTCATGCCAAAGAAAGAAAAAAGGGAAAACAACAAAAAAGGAGCTAACTCAACACTTCCTGGAATTCAAGGCTCAATCACGGAATAGGAAGTCCAAACACATCCATGTCAGGCAGACCACTCCAATCCGTCATCAAGCCGGACAGACAGGTCACACAGTCAGCAGATGAGGCTTCAGTTCTCTGCACTTCCTCCCTAACGTTTGCCCTAAATACTATATCAACAAGAACATTGTCTTATATGGTGGAATTAAATTCCAGCCTCTGGAGCTTTTTTTTTTTTTTTTTACCAAAGAGACAATCCCAAAGCAATATTTTCTCAATACTAAAGCCATAATAATACCAACGCTTTCTGATTTAGACAAATCCATTTAAAAAAAAGACTGTACCCATTTGAATGAGATCTGGAATGCAGCAGTAGTCAGGAAAGAGGACAAACCTTTACTATTATGACTACTTTAAACAGGCAGTGCTGATGTTGCAGGGGGGATTGGATAACTGGGCACTTTCCATTGCACAAAGCTAATTATATTAACCTCCACTTGACATTGTAAGAAAAGAATAAAAGACAGTTAACCCCAGTGCAAAGCAAACGTAAGCCAAAGAACAGAAGACAAATAAAAAACACCATGATAAATCTATGAATAGAACTCAAGTGGTTCCTGAAAAACGCATAAGGCTGCAGGAAGGATATCATTAAAAATAATATTTTACCTACTGTGATTCACCAAAAACTGAGAATTAAGAGAAGATGAACAGACCTCAGTCTCTGACAAAAATGATTATCTGCTCAGACACACCAACATGGGTAAAGAATAGTGGAAGGGCTTTCTGTGTCTCTGACGCTCACACTGCACACATTTCAAGCTATCTCTGAATGAGCTTTCCTGTTCAGCCATACAGAAAACATTCCGCTCTGACTATCTAAAGTGTTGCCTCAAGCTGCCTGTGATTGTGCGTGAGTACATGAGGAACTATTTAATTGACAATTAAGGACAAAAATGAGAAAACCAAACAGAGAAAAACACTAAGATGCTGCATGTTTGACTGACTTTCTTCCTACTGGCATTTAAGGTCAATCGAGTGGTGGCTTCCTACTGTCTCTCTGGTGACTCAAATAGAGCCCCAAGTGATCCAGCGGTGGGGATATAAGACTCGTAACCCATGTGATCTATGTGAAAGGTCTAAATCTAAGCTGGAAATCTGACACACATTTATGGTAAATTGTGTAGCCAGCAGCGATTACAAACAGCATTATGACGTTGATCTGGTTCTCATGACAAGTGGATTACAACTGACGATGTATTACAGAAGTCATTCAGGGTCACAACCAGCCTTCTCAGTGTCAAACACAAGGCACAGGACACACACATATATATGTATATATATATCCATCCAGGAAATGAGCACAATGGCCAAAGTTGACATTCTGTGTATGCCTGAAGGTGAAATTTAAACCGACCTATTTCTGCCATCTTCGGGGTCGTGCAGTGTGGCCTCGATGCCGCTGTCCGTCTCCACCTCCTCATGCATCTCGGGGGGTACGAGGGCCCCCGTGTCCTCATCAGTGAAGGTCTCACACTCACTGTAAGTGCTCTCGGAGCCCAGGTAGGCACTGTCCGTCACCTCATTTTGCTGCAATAACAGACACAGAACAAGAATAAACACATTGTAGTATGTCCATCAAGCAATAAACAGACCGACTCATATTGATTTGAATATCCAAGATAACAACAGGACATGAACATGGATGGAACTTAATATGCAGTATACAAACTAGGGTGGATGCTGTATATACTGCTGTATAATCTGATTACAATAATAACATGGCTCTAGAAAACTTCACTAAATGCTCCACTAAAGCAATACTGCACAGCCAAAGAAGTAATGCTCAGCAAACAAATGTATTGTGCTTTTGTTGTATATCTTCTAACAATGTCTACAGATTTTTTATGAATGCCTTGAGGTGTATTTAAAATCAGGATTATGTGTGATTATGAGAAGCAAACGGCAGAAAACACACCTATAGGTTGATCGAATGGTGTACAAATGGCTGTACACATAAAAACAGCGACCAAACAAATCATAGAGCATTAACAGACTTAAGAGACAGTCTGATCACTCAGATGGCTGTACCAAGCAAAGCCTGCTGCATCAACACCTCTAAGCAACCAGTTCAAACAAAGTGAGCAAGCTTTAGGCTTGCCAAGCAACAAACACCAAATGTCCAACACAAAACCCATAGACTGATACATGCCAAAACAACAACAACAGAAACACATCAGAAGCTATTTGCAACTAGAGACTCATTATCAGCTATCAAAACTGTGAGGCAATAATAAAGGCAAGACAGGTGAGTCACATTGGAAAACATAACGTACCATTATAAATGAAGTGTCCGGAGTAGCAGGGCCCAGAGGGCTATCCACCATGCCCAGAACCATTCTCCCTGCCCGGTTTCACTAACAGGAAAGCTGGCCTGCCATGAGCACCTCTCAATAACTCTCCTACTAATGCTTCCTCACCTTCACTCAGAGAGTGAGAGAGTACGTTTGAAGAAGAAGGAAAAAAAAAAAGGAAAATACTGTAACACCTCGTTCAGCTCCACTGGGTGGTCAGAGGGGAGGAGCCAGAGACAAAGTCCAAAGAGTAGCAGAAGTCAGCTGTAATGCTCAATCAACCAGCTTTCTGCCCAACAGGCCAGAGTTAAAACACCACACGATCAGCTGAACAACTGTTTAATCTTTCCTGGCTCCTGGGAGCTTCACTTCCTGGCCCAGTGTGACAGTATAAATCATTAAGCCATGTTCTAAGTGTTACAGACTGCACAGTTAATAAGGCCTATACATCACAACTTTTTGTCATGTCTGTGTTCCAATAGAAAACTGCCATGCTGTTAAGGTTAAGGCTCTGAAAGGAAGAGTAGGTGTATAATCTGTAAGGTTTTGGCAGAACAATAACAAAAACACTGGTTATGACAAGTGTGAAGGCCATATTTACTGTTGTTATGTGCTTCTATTTCAGAATTAAAATGTGAGACGGAAATGTGAAAGTTAGCAACGGCAGAAAATATTTATTAAAGGAAAAAAACTGGGTGGATGGGCTGTTGCTTTTCTCTTATGCCAGGCCTCAGCTGAACAGCCTCACCTTGACTGTTTTGAAAGCAAACAGGGCTAGAACAGCACCGCCATTGAGAGAGAGGAACCCTTTTCTGCCAGAAACCCGAGGGAAAAACAAGGACCATGGACACAGGTGTGGCGTCTACTTCAAACATAAACACAAACTTCCCCAAAACTCTGCTTACCGGTTCCAGTAAACAGCAAGGACACTTTATAAATCACTGGACCTTACATATTGTTAGTTCAGATTCACATCTACTTTCCTATGTAGAACACATCTTTCCTTGTTTGTGGATATTTTCAGTTCCATTTGTAATATTTGAATAAAATGTCTCATAAGTAACTGCATTAAATCTTATCTACCTAGAGCAACACAATCGGGTAAATCAAGCCTTTGAGCAGTATCAGATCTATCTATCTATCTATCTATCTATCTATCTATCTATCTATCTATCTATCTACTCATTTGGACACATGCATTTTAATATATGGATGTTTTAGCATCTACTGTAACTATTTTCTATGTCAAACAATTTGGGAGACTGTGTAATACATTAGGCGCTGTGTAAGGCATTGTGTTCGTGTCATTTGTATTAGATTTACTAGTCTCAACAAAAATCCACAGGAATGCAATTCTTTTTTAACTTCAGATGAATGCCGAATGACTTTTATCATACAATCATCAACTCATGAGGCCCGTGAAATGGATTAAAGTGGAGAGAATCCATTTGCACACCTGACAGTGGTGTATGGGCCTGCACTTATAAACCATACCAAGAGAGGGTGCTGATACTGTCCAGTACAGCCACTAACACAACAGTCTAGTCCTGCAAAGCCTGTGAAGTGCACACAATAGCAGAAACATAGACAATTTTGCGGAGGCCAGCAACAATGATGGTTAAATATACAAGTTTCCGTGCACAAGAGGAGACAGGAATTTCAGATATGCTAACCACAACTGTAAAAACACAACGCACATTCCACCTAATTCAATATTTGTCAAAGAATACTCGAAAGCCTAGCATGCCAGATGCTATTTAGTGTCAGCCAAACCAGGGGGTTCAGTCTGTGGAACATTCACAGAGTAGTAATGATAGCTCTGCAAGCCACTCAGCGAATTACAGTGGGAAGAGTGAGAGTGCATAGGGAGTTCAGCCTGTGACCTCCACACACTGTGCTGCCGTGTGCACCAGTGGGAACTGAAGACACAACAACTGGAACACATACACAACTAGAGAAAGGCTAAGTCTCTTGTGTGGCGCCTCACCTCATCGTACTCCTCTGGACAGCCCACAGCTCCATCCCCTGGACTGTAGTTTACACTGTAGAGCTGTGGCTCTGGACCTGCAGATATGAGAGGAAAAAGACGGTTTAATGTGTGACAGAATAAATATATAAAGTCAAACAGCAATGGAGGCTCAACAAACACAAGACTGGTGTGTGTGTGTATATAGTACCAACGTCCATGTGCAAACAAACAGCCATTATTAAGGAACAAGGTGTCACAGCAGGCTATGGATTATATCCTGGTAGCACTAATATCTGTAGTTACTGTGATTACTTTTCTGCTTTTGATAAAACCTGACTAAAAATTGAAACCCAAAACATTTTCATGCTTGACAATTCAGATGCATTTTCATTATTAAACATGTATTTGCACAGTGAACAAATTTCAGGAGCCCATAAGCATTTTTTTCTGAAATACACAAAATGATAATTAGACAATAACAAATATTAGTTTATTCATGTCCCACTTTCTAGTCAGCAGTATTAAAATGTCATTTAAATGTCTGCCAAACTCTTAAAGAAGATCTATGATGTAGATAACATTGTTTTTGTGTAATTATTAATTTCTAATTCAAATTACAATGACCTCATTCCATGAAACAGGGTAACTTTATCTTCAATAGTAAAAACTAAATCTAAATGTCAATTTGATTATTTCATCTAAAATTCAAACATGATCTACGTAAGGGAAAGTCAGGGATTTTATGAATTGCATTATGTAAAAGACATAAAATACCATACCTGCCATGGTTTTTTCCATTTGTCTTTATTTTGCAAAAGAACAAAGGTGACTCCAGCAGATTAATGGTAAATATCAGTGTTTGACAAACTGATATTTCTGCCTATAATGTGTTTGCACAAGTACGCAATCAGCACATTTGAGAGCTTGTGTCCTAGCTGCCCTACTTTGGCATATTTACAGTCAGCAATTTAAGCGTGATGTGACAGCAAACATTATGTAACTTTTACACTCGCATTTCAAGGGCTATAGAATGTCATGTAATAAGGGTATGGGCAAAATAAAAGGACAAGAAGCAACCCATATCCAATTCAAATGTGCCAATACAGGGCTCTGCTGAAAGCACCTGCAGACAAGCAGTGTAACCTGAGACGGACCATCAGTCCCATCAGCCACTGCGGCTCCTGTATCTAGTAAACAGAGCTGTGAATAGCACCCCACTGAGATAATAGAACACAAACAGTGTTCTCCCAAAGCTGCCAGTACACCCAAGGGGTTTTGTGCCCCCTGGTCTTATGTAAGCTGTACACATAGCGGGCCATGTAAGTGAAATGAGTCTGCACCGAATGGCGCTGTGCAGGAGAAGCTGTCTTCTGTTGGAGCAACACACCTGCAGTCTCTCTTGGCGTGATGTCAACATATCAAGAGGACACGGATATTTTCTAGACCAACTACAGGGGACATGGCATTTCCATAGCCTGCAGGCCTGTCTTTATTAAAAGGTACCCCTGCCAGTAAGTGGTCCAGAAATGAAATAAAAAAAGAAGGTGGAGTGCAATGAAGTTTATACTGAAACCAGACAGCAGCTGGAAAAGCAGGTTTTCCCCTCTGATTACAGCAGATGTGGCGGCAACAGTGGTAGAGAACACGTTATGGATCTAGGGGATCTAAAACTCAATAGTTTCGCCGCAAAGTGTCTGAAAAACTGTACTCTGCTTTTACAAGCACAGTGGAATTCTGTCAGCAGTGTGTGAGTGACCTGGGAAATCATAGGAGAGGTCTGATCTTCACACTCTAATGGGAAACTGTCTTCCAGCTGGAAATATATGATTCATTCTCCAGATTGATGATTACACAGAAAATATTGAAGATAGGCAGAAAAGACAGGACAGTGAGTAAAAGCAACATGGCACAATTATCCTTGACTGAAATCGGACCCATCAAGGATACAAGGATATGTGCGTTAGAAAAACAAGCTACCAAAACAAACCAAAAGAACTTTGTTTAAACGTCAAGACTACAATTACATAAATGTCCATCTATTAAACCAAGCACAGCTTATTTTGACAAATCTGGCACTATATGTTAACAGAGGCATATCTGTGTTTTTTTTCTAATCTGATTTTACAACACAGCGTTGCAAGCAGTGACAAAAAGGAGAAACAGAGAGGACGGGACAGAGAAAGAGGGCAGTAAATAATTTAGGTGAATAGGACTCTCTGCCCAAACCCCATCTCTCTGCCACTCCCACTCTGAAACCTTGCCAGTAAGCCCATGTGTCTGTGCATCTCATGCTTTCCAGTGCATGACTTATTAATGGCATGAGTAACCAGAGCTGTGCAACCCAGAAAGCCTCGGGAAAGAGTACTACCAATCAATAGGCTGCGATGACGTCACCACAACCTGTACAGTATGTCAACACAACCGGCGTGTACTGTAAAATGCCGAAGAGCTGAAAATCTTTGGAATGATGTCACTTTGGGGTGCCTAAATCAATCGAATTTAAAGTCAATTCAAGATTTAGATTAGATTAGATTTACTGCTGAGGTGAAGTCTGGGAAACCTGATGACACAGCTGTTGAGACAGGCTTACAAACTGTTCCTATTTTGGGAGGGAAATACAGTATGTCGGTCCTGACAACTTACAGCAGTTTTTAAATGTGTACAGAGTGGAACATGAGGTAGCAAAATGGTTAAAGAAAGAATAACAGTGTTTTGAGTCCAGTTACAAAGAATTTAGGTCAGTCTTCTACCTTTCCTTTCAAAAACCCTCACTTCAGCTGAGCGATGGATGCAAACATACTGTGTTGACAACAATATTTGCCGCCACGGGGAATGCAGGGAGCCAGATGCTGGAGGCTAAATGTAGGTGCAAGAATTTGCTGCTGAGGCCTTTTTTCTATTTCATTTCTTACAGCAGAATTAGGCAGGTTAGCCAAAATAAAATAGAATAGATAATATGTTCTTAGACATAGAGTACTGAAGACAGATAGCATAACATCAGTACATAAAACACATGATAAAAGCGAGACATTTTTATGTCAGAGTATTTTTGGTAGGTAGGTTTCACACATCATTAAATGTAGAACCTCCAGAGTCTTAGACAACAGGCCAATTGAGTCCACAAAAACGGGACACTAGGTAAAGAGTTTAAAGGGAAAACGATTCAAGACTACGTTTACTTACTACATGACATAGGAGGCCTTGAATAGAAGATTAAAACCACTGTGGACACTCACACAGGTTGCTAAACAAGTGTGTGTAATGACTCACCCCCATTGCTAATCGCAGAGATTCCACGGTGAAAGTCTTCAAAGCTGATCACTCCCAGGCCACTGGGATCCAAAAACTTGGTCAGATCCTTCACCTGAAAGATAAAAGCGACACGACATTCTAAACTAATTTCATCATAGCAACAGAAGAAAACCACTCTCCCATAACCCTGTCGTTTGTTCTGTCTAGATGCTTCAAGATGATGTCATAAATGATGTAAGGGGAACTTTTCCGCACAAGGGGGCAATTGACCTGACTGTGACGCTTACATACCGACTTCAATAAAAAAAGCACATGGAGAAGAACAAGCCAGTACTTCGGGATATAAGCTACATAAACCTACGAAGGAACTCTCTCTCAAGGTCATTTCTCTGACATGTCAGTTTTACTGCAGAAGTGCAGGAACACCACTTCCTCCAGAAGAAAATCAGATTCTGCAGACAGGGCAATAGTAACTTTACAAGGATTTTAATACGTGCAAAGGGTACGGCCTTCATGTTCTTAGCATATGACAAGAAAAGGAGGGGGAAAAAGATGAAAGAAATGTGTTACTGAAAGCTTAACAGTTGCAGAAAGTGTTTTCGCCACACAAATACTTTTTAAAGTAATAAATAAAAGATGGGTTGTAGAGTCTTTACATACATCAAAAGGAATCTAAAGATATGAAGACGGTTTACCCAATGACAGAAAAGTGCTTATTCTAAATGCACATTTATTAAAAGGCATGCAAGTTAAGCAATATGCTGTAGCGTTTTGTGCACAAGAATGTTGCTGAACTCAACTGTTAAACGGGTTATGTAAGTGCACCTACATACTGTATATTCTTATAGTCAGTAACCTGGCAACAGAAGGAGTAACTACTGTGCTTCAGTAACTACTACAGGACCTCAGAGCATAAAAAAACAACAGTGCACCTTGGATCAACAACTTTTTTTTTTTATTTAGAGAGAGACTGAGAGAGCCTTCACCTGTAAATTCCTTGGCATAATGCCCTGATTAATGTTTACTATCTAGTTATCTGGCTTTTAAAGACCTGGGAAACAGATATGTGCAGAATTATTGGTGGCGCCAAGCAATCAAAATCTATTTACATAAATAATAGACTAAGTCAAATGTCGTCCATTGCAAAATTGCACTAACCCACTATTACAGCATAATTTCAGGCGTGTATCACTGACAAAATTAGCTGGGAGGGAGCCTGAGAGTATGTTGGTTGAGGTTTCTGTGGTTTCGGCTCACTTCTTCCTTGAGAAAGTAAGCGCACAATGTGAACATGCTCATTTTACCGAGACTTTCCTTCTGTGTGTGTGTGTCCTCTTTCTTATATACTTTTTATATCGGTTACACATAAAAACAAGTTGATCTGCTTAGCAGCTCTGAGCTGCAACTCAGGAGGCTGAGAAGGCTGAAACTCCTAATAAACTGACTCCAACAACCCTCATGGCTTATGATCTGGGTTTGGTGAATTAAACCCAGCTGTACTTAGTGAGGGGAGGGGAGTGGCTGATCTCACTCAATGGTGGTTAACACTGCAATGTTAAGTTTAGCGTGTGGGATCAAGGCTCATCCAGCTTCCATTTCTGCTACGCTAAAACCTTTCCATACAGTAGGTTTGCTATGTACTGTAGGCTGAAGAGGGGTTGGTGAAGAAACAGGGTATTTAATGGATTGAACTTGTGAAAAGAAGTTTGTGGTTGAGGTCAGTGGTAGGCGTATGAATACAGCTTTTAGCTTTCCGTTTCACAATGGAGCATCACAGTTCACATGTTCCATGCAGCTACTCTGCCAGGCGAGGTGAGAAAACTGAGGTGTGATTGGGGAATTAACTGAGTGTCTGTGGTCCTGATGACATTTTTATATAACTGTTATAATAAGCAGTGAATTCAAATTAGTTATTGAGTCTGCAGTGAGAGATGTATGAACCACTGTGACAGCCAAAGCAACCAGAGCAATGTAAACCTACTATACTTTGGAAGATATCCATGGCCTACATCAGAGTTGTGAAGCCTGTACAGCAGTGCCAGGCCCCTCAGGTCTTATGAGCAGAGCCTGCTGGCTATTCCTAGGTCTAACCTAAAAACTAAAAGGTGAATATGATTTCAGTTCAGTTGTATTTTGGCCCCGATACCATGGAAATGCCACTCTGTCCCCATTTTAACTTAATTAAGTTACTTAATTTATTGTTGGAGGAAGCACTGTTGTTACAGATTATCAATTTATGTACTCATTCTTGTTTGTCACTGCCTCTATTGCTATTTACAGAGTTTACTGGCATGAAGTTTGGGCAAGCTAAAATGCTTTTCAAAAGTACTTCTTAAAACTATTTTATAATGGTCTTTCTTTTCTACAATTTCATGCTTATTTTAAATTGTTAGTCTTTGTTTTTATAATATAATTCAGAGTATTATCATTAATACTGTATTATGTACTGCATTATGGAACAATTTGCGTCATTATACCTAACAAGCACAGCCCTGAGAGACAGTGGTAAGGCAGATAACGACTAAACTCAAAGGCAACTTTGTCAGCTCCAGGGAAGCAGTGAAGGCACTGTGGTTTTTCTGTTTCCTCTATTTGTGTCTAATCAGTGCCGGGGCACGCCTGACCGCCTCCACACAGACCGCTGTTGTGCATAACCCCATGGAGAAGAATACCCTTTGGTGCAAGTCTTTCCTGGAGGGGATTTCACAATAGTTCCTAAACAAAACTCTGATAACCATGATCATACGCCTAGTAGGTTGGCAAAAGAAGATGAAAAAGGGCAGAATAATCTTTGGATATAAAACATTAACACACACACACACACACACACACACACACACACACACACACAAAAAGTGAACTCAAGAGAGGGGACGTTTCAGGCCATGGGACATTCCAATGTGGATTAGAGGGGCAGTACATAAAAGCAGCGGGTGAGGGGAGAGCGGCTGGCCAAAGTAGGTTTGGGAGTGTCGACTGACAAGAGAGACACGACCACAATGCAGTTCAGTATGGCTTTTGTGCAGAATCAGGGTCAAAACCAGTGAGTGAAACCAGTGAGTGAAACCAGTGAGTGGCGGTAAGAAAGCTTTTTTGAACTGATTTGCCAGATATGGCAAATGCCTGCAGGACATTTTATTTGTTCTGGTGTTCATCAAAAGGTAGAGTAGCAGCAGCAGGCCCACATTCACTTTTAATTGCATTCCTAACACTGTCAAGAAAGGGAGATGGTTTCATGAGACTGACTTGACATCTGTAAATCAACCTTCTCACAGAAAGTCTCTCTCCTACCTCGAAATGTCTCACCCAGAAAAGTGGTAGAGACAGTGCTTGTAAATTAACATAATGAAAGAGCGAATGGCAGGTCTTTATAGGGAACATGACATCTATGATTTAACTCAAATTGGCGGGGCATTTCTCTTGAAATACATTTTAACATACAATATTTTGACTTCTGCTTTAAGATTACACATTATACGTGATGCTTTTATTCAAACCACACACAATGTAGTGTGTGAGTATGTACAATGTCACTATCACATCCTGGAATAATTCTGAAGAAAACATTTGCATGCTTAGCATACAAGCGTCAGCTGAACATCTGAACATGTATGCAAATACCTCATAAATACCTTCCTGCTGTCTCTTTACAGGTTGGGATATTTGCAAAGTGTTACAGGATACTACACAAGCAAGGCCTGATGCTAGCCTTTAACTGAACTATGATCTACAAATACAAAATCCTACCAAATAATAAAGCTTGTAGACACAAATAAAAAGCATTTTGTTAGGAATGATATTTATTAATGTCCTTGTGAATTAGTACAATCTATTGCTCTGTGGTTTTCTCCACCACACTGCTAAAATGTGTCCACAGTAAAATTTCACTAATCTGAGTCGCTCAGGCGTGGCGGTTATTTAAACCACTTTTATCTCCAGATGACTGAAATACAAGGACATATCAGGGCAAAGCTTATTCAAATATGAAAAGCACACATCTATTCCAAACTGATATGAAAAGAGTGAACCATTTGGTACCTCAATAAAGACACAATCAGCACTCTGAACTCAGACAGCTTGCATTAAGGCCTTGTTAGATCAGACCTGACTTTCCCACTGATGCTTGAGTGTAGCTAATGAATTCCAAATCCACCGAAAGGTTACAAGCATTATATAGCATTCCACAAATTCTGAAGATAAGTCTGTCTGCTGCCCGCTTAGTTATTGTAAATGTGAAAGGCAAACACTCCAAAACCTCTCTCTCTCTCTCTCTCTCTCTCTCTCTCTCTCTCTCTCTCTCTCTCTCTCTCTCTCTCTCTCTCTCTCTCTCTCTCTCTCTCTCTCTCTCTCTCTGATCACGAAAGGACCGAAATCTGAGAGGAATTTCCTGTGAAGGCACAAATTAGCTCCTGCCGCTCTTGGAAACCAGATATCCAATAACTAAACACAAAGAAAGACGCAGTAAGTAATCAATCTGCACAATCTGAGTAGAAGTCCAAGGGAAACATTTAAGAAACAAAGATCCAAAGGAAACTGCTCATACTTGAGATGTGTAGCAGGAGAACTCCACCTGAAACCACACAGTAAGGACTCCAAGCGCCATGTAAATTTATCACCTTTAGCACCGCCTAGCAAAACAACAGGTGGAATTGATTTACATTAGAATACCATGACAAAAGCTGCAAGGTCATGGGCAGTGAGTGGATGGCACCCAAAACCACAGAGTCCCTCTGACTCAGGAAAATAAATTTTACTCTTAATCCTTCCCAATTCCCTGCCTGGGGAGCGACAGATACCTACGGTTAAACACAGGACAGATCGGGGGCAATAGAGGCGCTTTGAACTGGGAGAGAAGGGATTAAAAAGCATTACCGAGCCAGCGTCACACTCCCACTGTGAGTGGAGTAACAGCAAGTACCCATCCTCACCCAAAGGCCTTGTTCAAAGTTCATCAAAAATAGTTTAAATTAGGACATTTAATATACTGTATTCTAAATGATGTTGCCTGAATGAGCTCCAAGGTTGTTCTTATGGCTTCTTGAATAAACAGAGACCAATAAATGAGAAAGATACCAAATACATGCTCGTCAAGGCACACTTGTTCTGCTTGTTTAACTGTTACCAGTTAGGTTACGTCATGGTTTGCATCCATGCTTTTACTGTTATTTGCAAATGGTGTGATCACTTGCTGTAGCTCCGACTGAATCTTGTATACACTCAGACAGGCATACAGACAAGCACGTCTGACAGGAAAAGAAACTGATGTCATTTTTACTCTGGAGCGCGTGACATCTGTGTCAAACTGGGAATTTAACTTTTCCGCTGAAGACAAGACCACCGCCTAGACCTACCATGTTCAAAGGAAGCTAGGTGATAGAATTTAGTCAATAACTTCAAACCGGGTAAAAAGCAATGATAAATTCGAATGAACTCAAGAGAAGCAAACTCTCCCCTTTTACTACTCATATACAGAAAGGCTGATTCACTAAGTAAGACAATCGGAATTTAATCAATTTAATTCATTAAATGCTAATAATTCTGATTCTTTTTTGGTTGAAATTGTTCCTTGTCTTTTGACCTATTTCAGAAAATTTGGAAAATTCTACAAGCAACAAATGGGTGAGGGCCCTGGGTGGAGTGAGACACATCAGTCATTTCACCAGAGATTATCCCTGAACCCACAGGATATGCAAATGTGAAGATGGGTGTTGTGTCATTTGACATATGGAGGACTGCCAGGCCTGACACAATTCATTACAGCCAATATGCTTGACGGGACTTATCAGGATGTTAACCCAAATCCTGGCTCTTGTACACCCACCAAATATAGATAGACAAACTAATCCAGGCATGGTTATAATAATATGCCGTGGTATTAGCCAAATCTATTACACCAAATGTTGAGCACTGCTAAAGAACTCATGCAGGGGTCACGTTACCACTGCTAAATCATACGTCAGGGCAACATGGACCTAATGCAATTCATTAAAACATTTGAACTCATAATCAGGACCCAGTTTCAGAAACAACTTATGGTATATATAAATTGTACCAATAGCACATTAAGTGTCTAAATTAAAATTCCATTCACAAAGAGACCCATCAGTGAAAATGTCTGTGAAAAATCTAACAATAGTGAGTTTCAAATGGATCTAGACATTAAACAACTTGAAATACTGGTAGCAAAGTGATATCAGCCAGCTGGATTTCATTTGATTGCATTAAGCATGCTTTCTGCAGGAAGCTGTCTCTGAGGTTCAGCAGAAAATCAATAATAAATCATTTACGTATATGGAGCTTTATATGGTTTTACACAGAAGTTCACTCAGCATGCATTACCCAGTGGCTGCAAGCACAAAACAAGGCAATCAACAGAAGGCAGCTCACCTGATCGGCCCCATAGGCAGCAGCAAACTCCATAAACTCCTCAATACGAACGAAGCCATCTCCATCTTGGTCTAAAGCATCGAACACAGCTTTTAGTGGGGAGACATCTTCCTCCCTCGTATTCTCAGCTGAGACCATTGGCAGTGAGTCATCTACCACCATCTTAGAGAGGGAAATTGTCTCCACAGCTTGCTCACTAGTCCATCCAGCCTCAGGTGAAGAAGTGTGTAAGTCCTGAACTGAAAAATCAAAAGAAGCCACTTCATGACAATCTGATCCTTCGAGCTGGTCTGTGTCTGTCAACCTCTCCTCTTCCCTCTGTTCAGTTGTCGGATCGGGTACGCTTCCATCCTGTACACTCTCCTGTGTTTTCAAGTCCCAAGTGTCCTTGTCGTGGACCTCGTCAGCAGTCAAGCACAGATCCAAAGCCATTGCCTCATTCCCCTGAGTTTTGGCTTCAGAACAAATCTTGTCTTCCATCAAATCCTTAGACTCATGTTCCACAGAGTAACTCTCACTGGTGAAATCACCCTGGATGAAGGCATCTTCAGCCAGAGGCACCGTCAGTGATGAAGATTCAGCTGACAAACCGGAAGCAAATGACTCATTCTCACCTTGCTGATCTGAAGTCAGATTTGTAATTACAGTAGCTCCTGCATGTTCCACCTCCGACTCCTCTGTTAATAAATCTAATGGTGCACCTGTGCAGATAACAGAAGTGGGACTGGCTGGGCACAGGCTCAGACTGCTATCACAATCTGGAACTTCTAAATCCAACAAAGGCACGGATCCTTCGAAACCCTCCAGTGGCGCGCTGATGTGGTTATGCGGGAGGCAGTTCTCAGGTAAACCTCGCAGGGTAGTGCTACAGGATACAGGCAGGTCAGTCACTTGATCAGGGAATAAACCTTTATCTCTGGTTTCAGGTGACAAAGTCTCCCTGCTCTGTGAGGGAGGGAGACCTGCCTGCTCCTCTTGTGTCAAGTCTACCAGCTCCTCACTGACACCCTGTGGGTTTAACTCACCTGAGGACTCTGGGGGGAAAAAAGGGAGTTCGTCTGTGAGGAGATCTACCAACAAAAACGAATCCCCCGTGTTGGTCTCGGAAATGTTCGACGGAGAAGCCGGTACACTGAGGCTTATTAGCTCAGCCTGACTACTGAGGGCATCTGAGCTCTCAAGAGGGTCTTCCTGTGTCAGACTCAGTTCTTCACAGGCAGAGTTTTTCCCAACCACATCAGCGAGTTTGGGGGAAAATAACCAAGATAATGTGCAGTCACTTATTTCATCGGGTCCCTCAGTTTTTTCTGTGAGGGACAATTCCTCTATGTGAGTACTATGGAGAGAAGCGAGGGAAATAGTGGACTGATCTCCCTTAAACTGCAAATCTCGACAAGGAAAATCTGAGATATTTATGAGGTTGTCCAACTCTACTGGCTTTTCCTGGAAAATATTTTCTTCTTCACTTCTCACTTCTTCAAACTGTTGGCACGTTTGATCTTGATCACTGTTTCTGAAATCCAAACCTGTCTGGCCACCCTTGTTTGGACAGAGCACACCACCATTGTCTGAATCCAGTGTGTGAAATCCAAGAGGAAATGGCTGTTCTGACTCCCACTGTGTGTGCCCCAAAGGGCCAGACAGGACTGTCGGCTCCATTTATATTGGCTGTCCCACTTTGCAAACTTGAGAAAGCTGGTGACGTCTTATCTCACTGCTGTTGTAAAGATCCAATTCTTCAATCTTAATGCCATGTTTTTAAATGGCACCACGCATCTCCAGTGAAATCTTGATATGAATGTGTGGAAATCCTACAAGAATAGTCTGCTGCTAACATTTAGAAATGCTGGCAGGTATAGTGCTTTTTATAAATAACAGTATAGGGTTGACCAGTAAGGGTAGTTTTAAGAAGGTAGGTAGGTTGAGTAACAAGAGTCAGTCAGGCAACAGATTAACAAACTGTATTTGTTATTTAAACTGCCATCCACATCTCAACAACGACGTTCCCTAAATTCAAAAATCATATTAATGTCTTAGCCTTACTGAATATCGTGCTGATGTAAATGTGTTTTGACTCACTACGTCCCTTTCTGTCATGGCAGGTCCTCTCCTGGTTGTTGCCAAATGTTTCAGCTCCAGCTCATCCAACGTCAACATGCTTCACTTCGACCTGAAAGCTGGCCAATCCCCGAAATAAAGTCTCAGGACTGGACTGAACATAACGCCCGACAGCATCTCGGCTCGACGGCCGGCCGATTCAAAACAACACAAATTAACGCGTTAGGTCACCCGTGTTTGTCAACATTAGCTTTCTTAGCCGATTATCCAACATTATCCATCGCAAGCTAATTTGCCGAGAAGCCGACAGAGCAGCGGGGAAACGATGTGACCAGCGTTACACACACACATTCATTAACCTCTAGCTTTAACAGTTAAACCTCTCGTTACAAGACGGTTAACCAAATATAAACCAAGTCAAACCCCCTTCCAGTGGTTTTAAGCTAGCAACTAACATTAACTCCTCCTTCGAGCATCCCACTTCTTCCTTGCCAGCTGCTAACTGACTGGCTAGCGAAATTAGCCTATTAGCTAGCTAACACGCCAAACAGTCCCGCGTCTACCTCTCTCGGTTAAACCGAACCAAACAAGAGCTTGAACATCCCAGGGGTTTTAAAGGAGGTAACTGCGGATATCTTCGCTCCTGTGATAGCCCGACATTATGCCTTCATTTCGATGGCGTTTTCCAGCGGCGATCCACCTGTGTCAGTCATAAGACGAGGCCAGACGAGTGACGAGACGAAACCGCTCTTCCCTCTTCAAATTCTTCTATTATTCTCGTCTCAAAAAACACATCCGTCACAGAGACCCTCGTCCGAACTCACAAGGAAACGAAAATGGCAATAAATAACGCCAAAAAGCTCCATCAGTCGGCAGTCAGCCCGCCGATGTTGATCACAGACACCGAAACCTCTCGCATCAGCATCAGCAGTGTCCCATCCTCCTCCTCCTCCTCCTCCTCCTCCAGCCGCATACACACCGCTGACGTTTCACGCAAGCGTACAAAACACCCCGCAGTATCATTGGCTTTCCAGCAGCTATCAGTGTGTGTGTGTGTGTGTGTGTGTGTGTGTGTGTGGGGGGGGGGTATGATCTGTGTTTGTGCACAAAAAAACCCATGGTATATGATATTCAAAACATTGTGTCTTTGCACTCATATCTGGGTTATTAAGTAGGCACCCCTTCACACAGAGGGTCAAAGTTCAGGGTCAGATAGAGGAGCTTTAAACTGACAGGATGACACTTGAGCAGGGTTAATGTTTGTCTGACAATCCACAAGATTCACCAGTTTAAGAGACTGTCTCTGTAAGAATACATTACTCAGATACATCCCTGTATGAAATAGTTGGAGAACTCAAGCAGTGTTAAATGGTTGCAATTGTAATGTTTTGGCGCCCCCATCTGACTTAGAGTGATATTGATTCTCTTCAGGTTTGCAATGGCTGTATCTCATTTCAGTCATCTGATCCAGTGGATCTAAACCTTTGTGGCTTGTGACTCTTTAGAGCAATATAATAATATAATATACTGTTTAACCTTAGTGTGGATAATTTTTTAAATAGCTTTTTAAAAAGAATTTAAGTGCCCAAAGAATTCAAACTATCCAATATTTCACAAGACAGAAGGAAAAAATAGAAGAAAATCATTTTTTTGTGTATGTGTGTGTAACAGTAATGTGTTTTATTTTGTTTGCTTGGTTCTTCAATCAACTTGTGAACTCTCAGGTCTTGACCCCTTGGTAGGAACTACAAGTTTAATCTGTTTAATGCACATTAAAAACAGTCTGCCCCTTTCCACAGGTACAATTAAAGAGTCAGTGATCAAGGAAAAAAAAAAAGGAGACATATGACTTGCAATAGATAATGCAAACAACAGTCACTTTTAATTGTAATTATAAAACTTTTACTAATAAATGAGGTACTGAAAATGACATGTGATAAACATGACTGTACATGAAATGCATGATGATAACACACAGCAGTGTTATGGGTTAAAAATCCCACAGTTGTTACATAATATCATTTATTACTAAGATTGTAAACACATATAATACATTAAGTGTAGTATGTTAGTGTTCAACTCCTCTAGCCACCTGCCAATACACTCACCACAAATATTGTACATGTAGCATATGAGTACTACAGATGGCCCCTAAATCACTTTTGTTTTCAGCATCTACTTGTCTCTTTTCTTTTCAGATGACCAATAACCTAAAGGAAAGAAGAGAGACAAGTGGATTAATATGGGTTAAACTGTATTCCTGTCATTTAAACAATCAATTTCTCTTTAAATCTCTCTTCAATGCACCACACCCATTCTCAGTCATACTGCGTCTCCACATGGACCTCAAGCTGCGCCTCCTCCTACACACCTGCGTCAGGAGGAGGACAGAAGAGCCCCTGTTCAGAGTTTAGCGGATTTAGAGGAGGCTATACCCAACAGCATGGAGACATCGTTGGCTGATGTCAGCCACGCGCCGCCGTCCGCCACCAGGATGGATCCAGTCACATAGGTGGAGGCCTGGCTGGCCAAGAAAAGAGCGCAGTGGGCCATTTCTGTCTTGTTGCCGGCTCGCTGCAAAGGAATGGACTGGAACGCACCAGCAGCCTCCCCTCTGGGACCACCTGAGGGATTTAAAAAGAAAAGAAAATCCATGATCAGATACTCTTACTTGCACTGTCACACTGCGCATCAGTGGTTGCCAGTGTTTTCTTCTGACGTACCCACAAAGCCCTTGAGCTCAAGTACCCCTTCGTTGGCACAGTCCATTATGTTCCAAATATGTCCATAATATCCATTATGTTAAGCCAACATTGCAACTGTTTATTCATTACTTATGATATACTTAGGACCAGTGTGTACGAGTTAATGACATCTAGCAGTGAAGTTTCAGATTGCAACTAAGTGAACACCGCTGGCGTCTGTCTTTGACGACTAATGAGAACAGGCCATGAAGGGTGTAAGTGTAGAAATAACAGTGGCATCTGTAGATAAAAACGGCTCATTCTAATGTAACGGAAAGACAACGATTCCTACATTCAGGTGATTTTACACTATTGAAAACATACCTATTCCATTTAATGCATATAGATCCTCTTAAATGTCACACACTGAACCTTTAAGCTGACATTATAACAACTCTCTCTCTAAATTGTTTATTTGATCATTTTAGCTAACAATCTGAGCTGATTTCCATTTCTCAACTGCAACATGTAGTGTTAATGTTAGAATTGATTCAGGTCGATGGACAGCCTGCTGGTTGTTGTAAATTTACAAAAACCATTCAATTTCCTTCCTTAACACAAACATGAATACATTTTAAAGTTTTACATTTTAAGTATAGTATTCATTTTTTATCTTTTATTTGAGTGATTGGAGTTAATTAGTTCAGCTTTCCCACGTTCCCCCTGGCAACTGCAGAAGGACCCACTGGGTAACTGTGACAAGTAATTGATTGGGAATTACTGCCGTACAGCAAACTGTAATGTTTTAGTAATTCCAAGGCAATCTTTTTGATGAAAAGTGTTGTTTGCTTTTGTGTGCTTTTGTGTGTGTGTGTGTGTGTGTGTGTGTGTGTGTGTGTGCATCAACACACCCTTTCTACTGTTAGTAATTTGTGATATTCCCCACAGTGAAATTCACTGGGGATACCAGTGATGGTGATGACACAGTACAGGGAAGAGAAAATAGATATCTGAGTCATAATAATAAAATTAAAATTATAAAGAACTGCTTAGTAAATATATAACCTATTAATTAGTTAGTGTGACAATATTGTGTTAAATCTTTACCCAGTCTGCGGAAACCCTCTGTGCCAGAGACAGGACCTGGAGCCACACTGTTGACTCTCACCCCACTGGGCCCCCACTCCACAGCCAGGTGCTTAGTCATGGCATCTGGGGACAAGACGTGCGACATTGTGTCATTAGATTCTCATTTTGAATTTCATTACATAACTGTAAAAAAATAAAATAAAAAAAATAAATAAATTTTAAAAAAAGCTCTTACCATTTGCAGCCTTAGCAGAGCCAGCATGCACCTGGAGGGCCTGCCCCCTGTATGCAAGTGTTGCAGAGATGTTGACTATGTTGCCACCGTGATTCTGCATAGAAAAATTATGAGGGACTTAAAATCAATGCAAGGTGTAAATAATCAAATCAGCTCCAGAGAGCAGAGGCAGCAGTTTAAAGCCCATTTAGAAATGAGGAGGCATTCAGTAATCTGTGATCTTTACTGTCCTCTTTTGGAGACCAGAGTGAATTGCAGAAAGTGAATCTTACTGAAGTGTTGTCATCATCCTGAGCTATGGGGTTATAATTAAACAATGTATTTATGAGAAACATTGTGTCACACAGATAGAAACAGTACTGTACCTGGAACCACTTCTCATAAACCACCTTGCTAGTGTTGAATGTGCCCATAGTGTCTATCTCCATTACTGTCTTGAAGGCATTGAAGGAGAGGGCCGCAGCCGGGCAGAGGAAGTTTCCAGCAGCATCTGTCAAAAAACAACATTTGTGACTTTAACCAAAGATAAAATCATGACACACTGCTGAACAAAAATCCTATGCAAGACAGGCAAAGGAGTTGAATATTCCATTGAGTTTTTGTTAATGTTTCATTAAAGTTACAGTTGCATTAACTATGTGAGATATTATTGAAATAGAGATCACTTTGCATAGATGATCTGCATTTAAGTACAGTAATAATCTCGTTGTGACATAAAAGTTTGTAGAGGAGATGAAGGTGCAAAGATAGAAGATAAAGATAGACTTTCACACTTGACCTTTGTTTAAAGTACAGGTTCTCTTATTCACCTTGCAGACACCTTAAAATGCATTTGCATTTTCTTTCCGATGTTGGCAGGATGCACTGTCTAATAACAAAGCAGCTTCCACCACACCCACACACACACACACACACACAATTATCTTTAGCACATAAGACATATTTTTAGGAGAGGTCACATACTGTTAATGAGGATGTCAATGCGGCCCAACTCTTTCAGTGTCTCGTCCACAGCAGCTGCGATGCTCTCAGGCTGCCTCACATCTATACACAAAGGGAGACAGCGGCGTCCTGACGCAGCAGACAGCTTTTTGGCTGCCTGGAGAGACACACAATCATATTACATGAGGCCAACACATTAACATTTAGTTATGGTGCAATGAATTTAAATTAGATTATGGAAATGATGTAAGAGGAATAACCTCTTTGAGCTTGTCCAAGTTCCTGCTCGCAATCACGGTGTCACAGCCGTGTCTGAAAGAAAATAAAGAAATGTAACAACGTGGAAAGAGACAACACTAAAGAGCACATGCTGTATTGGGTTGATTATAGCGTGACTATGTAATGTCTTCATGAATACGGCTGATTGGGAGTAACTTATGATGAAAGGGAGCCAGGCACACAAACAAAACCAGTTACAAGGTCTGCTGCTCTTTTTGATAAAGGATAACTATTTCTGCCACATGAGTAAATTATTGAACTATTTCAACTCTGACACACAAGCAAAATTATGAAAGTCTGAGTGTCAGATAACACAAGCAGGAGGTTTAAAGTACACCTACATACTATCTCACTCATTTTACTGTTTTAGAGTAACACAGTAATGAAATAACGCTGACAGAGCATTGATTCTATTTCTTAAAGATGTATTCTCTTACTGTATGCATCAATAATGTCAGTGAATGTAAGAGGAGTGAAATTTGATTACACATTGATATTTCTGCAAGATCTGGGTATGTTATGGAGAAACAAGCATGTAATCATCTCACCTCATGAAGATTTCAGCTATCCGGAGTCCAATTCCAGATCCACCACCTGTGATAAAGGCAACCTGATCTCTGAAAAATAAAGTACAAACCCACAAAAAGTCACTTCATGCATTTATCACACAGACAAGCATGTCAACATTTATTTACAGACAATTGTGTGTATGCAGTAAAGCCAAAAGATCACTCCAGGCAATGGGAAATACATCCAAAAACACATGTTGCATGCTTACTTTAGTAAATCTGGACTGTAGATGTGTTTGTACGATGTCAGGCAGTCATCTGTACCAACATCTTCGGGCAGCAGCTCTGCTTTTCTCTGTGGCTCTGCCATGCTGATAAATAATGCATGTCAAACAGATGCAAACACACTTACATTACTATAATCACAATGCAATAAATGACCAATGTATCAATGCAAAGAAATAAAAAAATACAAAACCCCTCTGCAGCAGTTTGATGAAGCTAATAATGTTTTTGATTGTCACATATTTAAATTCAACTAAAGACTCTACCTGTTCCCATTTGACCTCTTTTATCTTAAAGCAACTGTGTGCACACGCTATGTCATGATATTTGTGATTTAACCCCTGATTTAAAAGCAGATCAGGGTTGCAAGTCATTTACGACAGCTCCAACAAAAGACATTCAGACAGATACAGAGGAGAGTATAGTCGAATATCACTGGCCTCACAACAAAGCACCACAGGGCTTTAAACCCGCGTTGAATCAACTGACACTGATTATGGGCCTCGACACAGAGGTCTACCGTACTGTAGGCTGCTGAGGGGTGTTTCTGTTGTTTCTATACCTCTGAACTCATTTTAGGTGAGTCTACAGCTTTCTGTACCGATAGCCTTTAACTGTCAGAACAGTACGTGTAAAGTTCACATAGCTGCTGTCGTATTAACTCACCTGCTGAAACAAACAAACTAGTTGTGTAGCGCTGACTCCTCTGAGGTGAAACACGACCTGAACACGGAGCACTTATCTCCGTATGAAGGGGCACATTTACTTTTATTCGGCGTTTTTCTCAGTAGGAACTATTTGTACCTTGGACGCTACTTTTTCGTCGTCCTTTAGCGATGCATTATGGGCAATGAAGTCCGTCCGGGGTGTATTCAAGAGCACAGATATCCAAACCTATTCTTGTATGTTTAAGACATAATGTAATTGTAACAGAGTGGTATTGCCACTTTGCGCTTCGGTTATGTTTGTGATGTTACTTTATGGTTGGCCATATGCGTAGCCTGGCTTTAACCTGTGTTGTTGTACTTCCTGTGGTCAGTAAAAAACGTGAGTTAAACGCCTTCTTCTGGCTGATTATTGAGTGCCCTCCAGTGTATCTCAGTAGGAAGAATAAAGAAATAAAGAAGGGTTGACATTTAGAAAATACTGTGTGCACTACACTGATTTGATTCCTACCAGAGACTATATCAGACAGCACCATGCTCTAGGGTAGGGGTCTTAAACTCACACTGGCTTGGGGCCACTGCTGGCATTGTCATCTCACAGGAGGGCCACTTCAACATTCAAGTGCTACAAGAAAGCTCAGTATTATGAAAACATTTCCATTACTAGCATCATATCAAATAAAGCCTCAAAGCGTATTTGCAGGCACCTTTGACCTTTGCCATTATTTTGCACCAAAAACGAAATACATTTTTGGAGTTAGAATAGAATAGAATAGGATTGTGTTTTTATTTAAATTGTGTATGAAGGGGCAGACTAAATTGATATTCAATTCTAGTAATTCTAAATACTTTAAACAGCCCTCAAGGGACAATTCAAGCCAAGTGAGTGTGCAAACAGAAGTACACATAGACAATTTAATGAAACAACTCTAAAAAATGATTTAAAAAATAATAATCTTAGCCAGATTATATTCTATTTTTGACATCATGCCGTGGGCCAGAGGGAGGGGTATGGAGGGCTGTAAATGACCCATGCACCAGCGGTTTGAGATCCCCGCTCTAGGGACTATCAAGTCTTTATCAAGCTGTAAAGCAAAAGGAAACCCAGTGATTCTCTTTCTCATCTACAATAACCATCATCTTTTAGGATGGCACCAGGGAGTGTCTCCACTGGTAAACCAACACTGAAATAAACGATCCAAAGTTTACGGTTTCAGGGCAGACGCTGATCAGTGTGCATTAGTGCAGAGAGTGGCCCTGTATCGATCTGTACTTTGGGATTTACTGTTGGAAAAAGCCCTATGCAATGGATCCCTCAAATACTTTTGGGATGGATATTCTTCTTTGCACTGAGGATCAGAAATGTAAGATGAGTGCTTTTGTAACTTGATTTGTTTTTCAAGAGGGTAAACAAGAGAAAACTCAGAAGCAAAAAAAATAAGTGCACAAATTTAGAATTAATGATAACAGATGCTTATGCTTTTTATACACAGATGGTTTTAGAAGGGTGTGTTTTCTTCAAATGATGCATTGCAACACTTCTATTACAAATCACACACTTCACATTATTACCCTTTGAATGTGTTTTTTTCTTTTTTCTTTGTAATTAGCTTTCACTATTTTTTCTGCTTTTATTGCCAGAGTTATTCTATCATTATAATGGGGGGCAGTTGTAAGTCCTGACCATAGACTGTATAATACTGTATTGTACTGTAGTATATGGTCCTGGCTGATTTGCAGTCCACTGCAATCTGCATTGAATTACCATGCAACATTCACACAACTCTGATATAAAAGCAGATGTTTCAAAGTCAAGCAACATGTCAAGTTTCTGCAAACTGATTTTAATAGCAGGTTTAAGTAAACTAGATAAAAGGCTCAAGACAACTGCATGTACAAAGAAATGTAAAAAACATGTAAAACTATTGGTCTGTATTTTAAATCTAGTTGGCAGCCAGATGGCGCTCTCTGTCACAACAGAACTGCATGAGAATGCCTCACTCTGTAAACATATATAGCTCAGACTTCTGAGACTCTATTCACCCATCTTCCTGCTGTCACTGTGGGAAATACAGCATGTGAAATACTGTCTGTGCTTATGTGTGATGTGATTTTAAAGTTCCACCAGGCATGAAAACAAAAGAAGTTAACTACATTGTTGAAAGTGTGTGAGGTTTTAAATTTTCAGATGAAAAAAGCCAAAACATTTTAAAATTATTTATTTCCATTTTGTTCTCGGGTTCTACCAGTTTGAACCCCACCCACTGTATACATCTCAATATATTTCTGTCTTTGCAAGCACTGGATTTTAGTGCTTCATTTCAGTTTTCCACTGTGTTTGAATTATTACAAACAACTTAGAGACAATGCACCTTTTTTACTGGTAAATGCTCAAACTTGTAGTAGTTGTATGATGGTAGCACAAGCACAGAAGAGTAATAAAGTCAACAAAACAAACCAACTGACTCACTATTGTTAGTTAAAAAGCCAAATCTATTTAAAAAATCTATATAAGTTTGTTAAGCCACTGGTCATACCAGACCAAGTAAGGCCCCTGAGTGTATTCAAGAGAGTAAGAGTGCACTGAATTCAACTTTCCATTTATAAAAGAACGGAAGAGCTATTGTTTCTTTCCAAACTCACATAGTCTCACTTTAAAAACAGAGTCGAGAGTCCATTGTCAAAGGTTTGTTTGTTATACACTTTTAAGTAAATGTCCTGATGCAGGAACATAAAGGCATGTACAAAAGACGGCCATTATACAGACAACCAGAATCACAGGCTCAGACAGTTAATTGTTCCAGTGAGTCTGGCATAGCTCAAGCCATAAAGGTCCATTATCCTCTGCTGGCCCAGTGGCCAGAGCAGACCTACAGCCCCACAGCACTGACAGCTGGTCCTGGGCTCTGTCCTTGTGTCTGCGCTGGGTCTGCCTGTGTGGCTTTGCTCTGGCCTTCTGCTGGTGGGTTTGACTTGGCGGACTGTCCCTCCTCCTCCAGACCCACCAGCCTGCTGCTGACCTCCCACAGCCTGCGAGCTGCCTCCTCATCCAGGGCCTGCGGTGCCGGTTCCTTTTCTGTCATCACGTCATAGTACATTCCCGTCACCCCCTCCATCTCCTTGGACACAGCCAGGTAGACGCTGGGCTGGGCCCCCAGCTCTGGGCTCTTCACCAACATGGAGAAAAAGGGACCTGTATTGGGGTTGGTGGAGACCACAGGTTTGCTGGTTTAAAATCTGTTAGATCTGAATACTAGTACTTTAATTGGCCAATATCAAGTACCAATCCAAGAACTAACTGGATTCATGTTGTTATTTATGGGTTATGACAAAGGAAACACTCAGTGACTGTGCATCAATTACATTTGTTCATATCTAAATCTGGAACACGTTGCAGATTTTTATTATCTTCTTCATTGACTGTGAATGATCTCAGCAACAAATACTGTTCTCCTAACATCAGAGGATTTTTATTACCTCTGAGTGCATGTAATTAAAAAAATACTCATTGTGGAATAAAATAAACAACAAGTATATTCACTGATTCCCAGAATGGGTACTGAGAAGCTGTATCAGCACTAACACTGGTAGCACTGGTGTACTTTTATTTGAACTGCAATATCATTTTTCTCAGGGGTGGTTGGGGTGATGTGGCTGTGGAGGGAAAACCTTGAAAACAATGACTTTGGTCACTGTTGTTTTAAGTTCAGCTGAGGTATTACATGCTCCTGTACTGAATGTATGAAGCAAGACCAGTGGTGGAACATGAACATTTGAGGTACTTGCACTTTAATTTAATTTCATGTTACTTCAGCACTACTACATTTCAGTGGGAAATTTTTTTTCCTCCACTACATTTCTGACAGCTACATATACAAATTACTTTACATATGAAGATTTAACATATAATGAGCTTACAAATTCCAATATTATAGATGAAACTACCCAGTATACCGCATATGAAATTGTCAAAAATGTGATCCACCGCAACCAACTACAACAGTGAAATGCTTCTTACTCATTGTGGATTATTAATTACAATCAATACAATTATTAAATAAGTATATATAAAAGAATCATAGTATAACAGTCAGAGAGTACTTTTGATACTTTGAATACATTTTGCTGAAAATACTTGTGCTGTTGTATGCAGCAATAAGAAATTTTCATTTTGTACTGATTCTGGCCGCCCCTGTGGACAGAAGTGGTAGTGTTTCTACTGCCACATTTCATTGATTTTAAGGGGAATCTGACCAAATCCAACCCGGTGGCAAGGATTAAGTTAACTATATAGAAATAATAAATCTTCTTGCTGGTTGTCTTGTTTGTTTATGTAGGTCACATAGAGGCATCTGAATAAAATTGAGACTTTTTCATAACCAGTTAAAAAGTGGATAATGGAGTATTTTGACAGTGTGGTATTGCTACCTTTTACTTAAGCAAATGATTTGAATACTTCCTCCAACACTGCCCAAAAACCAAGAAGATAACTTTTATTTAGCATAATCAGAGGGCTAAAAAGAATGTTTTCTTTTCAGCTGTAGAGTTATAAAGTTGGCACTTTTTGGACAGCTGTGCAGTCAGTTGCAGTTTATGCTTATTTATAAAGTAGATAAGAATAGAAAATTCACTTAGTAGACCAGCGCTGCATATCAGAGCTTATACAGCCTAAATGAATTGCTGCATAGGCATTAGGTAAGCATTTATTGATTTCTCTGAATTCAGAAACCAATAGGCAAGTGGGATACTCACTGAGCACAGAGCTCGAGAACTGTGATTGGTGCAGACCCGTGTGCCTCCCGAGCTCCGTGGCAACAACGCCTGGGTGCACAGCATTCACTGTGACTCCTGTGCCTGTTACACACACATACACACACAGTATTGTTTAAAAATATATATCCAATGGCCAATTACAAACGAGAACATAGGCCGTACTCCCTCCCACACATGCCCACATACGCAACAGCCAGTAGACTTGCCTTGTAATCGCTTGGCGAGCTCTCTGGTGAACAGAACATTGGCAAGCTTGCTCTGACAGTACGCCTGCTTGGTATCAAACTTCTTCTTCTCCCAGTTCAAGTCCTCGAAGTCAATCTTTCCAACGATGTGGGCGAGTGAGGCCAGGTTGATCACTCTGCTGGGGGCGGACTCTTTCAACTTATCCAGCAGAAGATTTGTCAACAAGAAGTGGCCTGGAGGAAGACAGAAATCAGGAATCAGGTAGCGATAGAGTAAGGGAGAGTTTATAAGAATGTAAGGACAATGTACATTTATTTTCTTACTGACGGTTGAGAAAAAGAGACTTTTATTCTGCCTGTAAGTACCTAGGTGGTTAACTCCAAGCTGCATGTCGAAACCATCATCTGTCTTCCACGCTGGACATCTCATGACCCCCGCATTGTTTATCAGTACATCCACACGCTGCTCCTCTACAAGATAATAAACATAATATTTAAGAAACTGTTACTGAGTGTGCTTTATTTCTACAATTCAACATGTGATATGTTCTGTTGCCTTACCTTGTTTGATTCTCTCTGCAAACTCTCGGATGGATTTCATGGAGGCCAGGTCGAGGTGACACGCATATACGTGAGGATTCAGGGTCTTCCCTCGTATTTCCTTTGCAGCTGCCTCGCACTTCTCCATGTCCCGACAGCCCATAATGATCCGACCCCCTGATGATGAGGGAATGGGAAAAGGAGCGTGTCAGTGAGAGCAAAATAACTGCTGAAGATTTTTCTATGTTGTGTCTTCTTGCACCAAATCAGAATGACATCATATGTCCTCCGCACCTCTCTGGGCCAGTTCCCGGGCGGTCTCTTTCCCAATGCCTGTGTTGGCTCCTGTTATAACCACAGTCTTCCCATTAATGATGGCCTTACTGGGACACCGGCCTCCAGTCACGTGGGTCCTGTGAGAAGAAAACCAAGTGCAGTGCCATTTTGAGATTATAACACCACCTAATTTATCACTGAAACCAGGTATGATGGATTTCTCTCAAGCTGATCCAGAAAAATGATTTCTTGTCTACCTTGTACCACAAGTACATTATATAACCTCCAACCTCAATTCACCAATGACTCACCAGTGCATTTATTCAAGAAGATGTCTAGCTGTATGTTAGATAGCCCCTGTTATACTGTAGGTCTATATTACTGTCTATCTTTAAATAACATTACTCCACTAAAGGCTAAATTACCAAAAGGACGGGGCCCCAGAACTCCAGGCTTACTGTGTGTGAACTGGTTTGTGATCATTTAATTAAAATGTAATTTAATTCGTTTGGGAATATGCTGTACTAAAATCACAATATAAACTCATGCAATAAGGCCCTGCTCAGGTGTTTTTCATTACTCTGGCTGAATAGACCTGGAAGCTTTGTTTGTAATAACATGATGTCACCAAACTCTGTACACACCATCAAAGTCTTTAGAAGAGGGTTTAAACTAGAACTGCAACAATTAGACAATCCATTGATTGAAGTGCAACAGAATCGCAAGAAGCTGCAATTTTTTGATAAAAGGTAAAAGGTGAGACTGAACAGTATTATAATGAAATACTGTAGTGCTGCAGAGATGCCCTGGCCTACAAAATCTGATTTAAGACCGCAAATTAATGCACATCATCATGATTTTAACAGTTTTCTCAATGAAAATTTAATTTTTGATGCAAAAATGGTCACACTAATTGTGAATCATATCGCAGTATTTGTCAAAATAATCGCAATGTGATGTTTGCACCCTGTCATGCAGCCCTAGTTTCTTTAGTCCTCTATGTCAGTAAACTGAAACTTTGATTGTGGACAAAATAAGACATTTGAGGACACTGCATTAGGCTTTGGGAAACAGTGATCAACATTTTTTCACCATCTTCTGATATTTTATAGACCAAACAACTAATCTGTTTTATTGCCTAGACATGAAGAGGGTTATTATTTCAGTTTTTTGTTTATATCTTGCATAAATGAGGTGTATTTATGTGTTTAATTAAATTACCACACATCAAATTTGGGATTTCAGGACAGAAATACTGTAGACAGAGGGGGAGGAATAGGGGTTAGAGACAGACACAAAACAGGGCTTCTTTATTTTTGCTCTAATCTTAGCCGTGACTTGGTATTAGACCTGATCTTCGCCAAATCAAATGCATTAGGTCCTAGATTTGACTTGAAGTCAGCCGTTGTGTAAATCACTGCCATGTTACATTATCTCATTAAGTAAGATAACACATGGAAAAAGAAAAGAAGCTTAAGTTCACACTAGCCTTATTAACTGCGAATGGGTGAACAGACTGCCATTAACACCTTTACAGTGTATTCATCCCAATCCAATCACCTTGTTATAAATGCTGCCTTTGTGAAGCATTTGCAAATATGCAACTGAGCCAAGGAGGCTGTAGTAGTAGTTAAGTGTTTATCCCTATGGCAGGAAAAACAGGCTACTGGACAGCGTAATGCAATCTAGCTGAAATGTTTTGAAGCAACACCTGAACATGTATGTCTTCTATGCATTCAGTACCAGTGTTCAACATATTGTGTCCAAGTCTGAACTCAATGGCATATTGGTATTAGCAGCAAATGTGGCACAGGCAGTGTAAAATGTACAGTTACATCATGATACAGAGGCCTTATGTCATATAATGAAAAGTTACTCACTTCAGTAGAACAGCGCATCCAAACACTGTTCCAAACACAGACACTGGTAAAATATATTTGCTCATGACTCCCGAATAATGCTGGAGACTAACTACAGGATCAGAAAGGTTTTGACACACTCTTTCCACAGATCATTTGACAACACTGCTGCAGCACAAGGTTAAGCGCGCATCTTTGTGGCGTCATCAATTAACGCTAACCAACCGCAAAGCGCGATCGCCCAATGGCCTTGTGGGAAATGTAGTCGCGACTGACTTAACGGCTAAAACAACCAATACATAACAAACGACATCTTTTGATTTGTTTCAGCCTTGTTGTGTGGAATCTGTAACAATAGAAACACTTAAAATAAATAATGCAAGAGTAGTTAGTTGAACTGATGTGTGTGTTTTCTGCTACTCTTACAAAAACATCTGAATTCTGACAGTTCTGACAAAGTGTTGTTATTTCACTATTGTGCATATAATCATTAAAACAAATCATATTGTGCTAAGCTTGCTAAAAAATAAAAATGCCACGAGAACAAAATGAAACAGGATCTCAGGATGAGGTATTGTAGGGCTTTATTTGGAGTCAGCAGAGGAGAGGACTATAAGATTTGGTGGGGGAGGGTTGATGTGGCTGTGAGTTGCTTTTTTCTGTTTTTGGATTGTGAAGAATAAATGCAATTGTGACTGCTGTCAGAAAATCATTTCTACCTTTGTGGAGCCAGGTGAGACTGAAAAGGTGACAGTAAGACACAGAGAGGGGATAATGTGGAGGGTCAGACCAATGCCCTGAGGTCTGAGGACAGGGTTGAGCTTTCTACACTACACTTTTTTAGTTTATTTGTAGATTTTAGTCATAGTTTCACAAATCATGGTCGACAAAAGACATTACAAATTTCAATAGACCCCTCTCAGCCTGAGGCCCTGTGTAAATATCCATCCACAGTGACACTGCAGTTTATAGGGCAGCTAGAACACAAAGTACAAAGATACATTTGAGGACAGTGGAAAAAAAACAAGGCCACCCCCTTGCAACAAGATTTGGAAAACTTGAGGTGACACATAAAAAGTAAAAACTAGGACGTGAATCTGGTGTGTGAAAAAGGAGTGGGGAGGTGAGAGAGGGAGGAGAGGGGAGGAGCAGCCCTGCTCTATTTGTTCACAGCTCAGAGGTGTGTGTCCCCCCGGTGTGTTTGACCCTCGGTGCTCTCCGCTGTCAGCCCACAGTGCTTGACCTTCACTATTATGATTTATGACAGCTCTCTTCCCCAGATAACCCCGAGGAAACTCTTCGCCTCACTGCCTGTTTGGCCCAACTGTGTTGCCGTGTGAGACACCTGAATGCCTCAAAGAGGTGCTGAAGATGCAGCTATTCAATATCCACCCACCTCCTCAACAAGGATAAAAAACACCCCAGGTCAAATTATTTAGTTTCAGGAAACAGGAAGATCATATTCCCCTGTACTGACTTTTTTTTTTTCTTTCTTTCTGATCATGGACTGCTTGAAAACAGCTTATCTTTCACTCTTCATACCTCAGCCTGGGTAGGAGCCTGACCTGCATAGCTTTAAGTATATGCAAGAAAGAAAAACAATCAGTTATAGACAATAAAATAAGTTATTGTGTGACTTTGGGGGTCTGATTTGAGGTAAAGATGGGAGAAAGTAAAATATTTACCAATTAACGTCATTAACAATCTTTATTTATGTAAAACAGCCTCCAATCATTTCACCTCTCTCAGCCCATCTGATCAGTGGTGTTTGGTGATGATGCGTTCAGGTTATCCCGATGCTGTTTTCTCAGTCCAATCTGTTTTGGTTGGCAAACACGCCTGGCAGGAGGCCTGTTGTTAAACATGTACAGTAAAAGGTTGGAGCTGCCAGGGCAGTGAATTAATTGAAAGTCTTGCCTCGCTGTTACCTAATAAGGACAGTTGGCAAAGTCACCGCGTGAAGTACTTGAGGCCATAAGCTGTTGAATTATGCAAGAGTGGAGCAGCTCGGTCCTTCAGCGCATGAATCAAAAGTAAAAAAGCTCATGGACGCATTGAGGCTGGATGGTTGGATGGGGAGCGTCCAGGCGCTAGGACCCGGGACACGTGAGCGTATTTAGTTTGCCAGAGGGTGGAGACGGTGAACAATGAGGGAGCTGACTGGTAGGACCAGCAGAGGAGAAACATCTGAGACCAAACCCCCTACCTCCTCAACCCCAGAGTCCCGCCGGACCGACGGACAGAACAGACTGACAAGCCGACAGTGAGAGCAAAGACGCAGAGTTTGGAGAGAGTGGGGGCATGGAGATTCGTCCATGCACGCTGCAGAGAGCAGAGATCTGTTGAGCCCCCCTGTGTGGATGTGAATGAATGGGTCCGTCTCGGTGTGTGTGTGTGGTGCTTAACTGGGTCATGCGGACCACTGGAGGAGCGAAAGATAAACACGCACCCTCCTCCCGCTGCTTGGCAGGTTGAGATGGTGGGCGCTCAGAGGAGGGATCCCAGCCTGTGTCCTCAGCTCAGCATCCAGCATCAGATGATGCTCTTGATTTAATCCGCCTCCGAAGAAAGTCACAAACTGAAGAGCATCTCCAGAAACAGGACGGGAATCGTCTCGGGGCGGGCACAAGGCAAAGCGCAACGACGGAACCTCATCCGAGCTTTGTCACTCTGTGAAACTGCAAGGTTTTTGGTGTGTTTAATGGAACTGTACGGTTTTCTTAGCACCTAGGCCTATAACTGATCGATAACTTCCATCAAACGAGGAGATCCATCCATCGGTTCCCCCCGCAGACTCCAGCGGATCAGAGCGCATCAGCTCTGCTCGCCGAGCGGATGCAGGACCATGGAGGAGAGAGACAGGTCGCCAGCAGGTGAGTGAGTAACACCTAGATGCACCCTGAGGTGCCTGAAACCGGGTCACAGCATACTGTTATCTGCAAAGAAAGAACGACAGGAAAATAAAAACAAGGGTTGGAATATGTGTATTCATATGTATGCAATGGTTCATTGACAGCCTAAGCGCTGGAGTTTGATTATTAAAAAATATGGTGCAGTTAATGTTTATTTCAAGAGCTTGGATTTGTTTATAGCTTTGGATTGTGGGTAACTTTATGTTGTCTGAACTCTGGCTCACTCTCATGGACAGTGTTCATAGGCAATATGAATAATAAGTAAAGAATTAATGTCAACAGTTTTATACAGCACCAGAGCTTAATTTAATCAGGCCATGATTAAGTCTAACTAATGTTAATGGTTGAGCTGCGGCTTAATTTGTATTTTCACCCACATTACTCGTGATACCCGCACCTATTTGTTTCCCACTCTGCTTTTGTGATTCATTCTGTGCTAGATGGATGCGAGGGCATCCGGGGCACTCCAGTTTTAATGGCCCTTTTATACTTTGTCCAGGGCAGACAGGTGATATCTCATCGTTAATGCTGTCTAATGCATTTAAATGAGCAGCTGACTTTATAGAGCAACCCCAGTAAAAGCAGAGCCTGGAGGCTGGTAACAGCAGCCAATAGACCTGGATTTGCTTTTGTCACAAACATTGTATTAGTGGAGAGGAGAAGCTGTAATAGCAGGGACATTTACTTTAAAGAGGTAGTTCATCCCCAAATCACAGAAAATTATGTGGCAAAGTTGCTGTACTTGGAGCCCAAAACACTGTAAAAACATCATACAGACAGACTGCTTTTATTGTTTTATACTGTTTAGACATCAGCAATTATACTTAGCATTCAGCTCCACCAAAATGAATCATCAAATGTCAATTGCAGAAGACTCTGCACTTTTAACATTAGCAATCTGAAAACAAACAGATCTCAAAGAGCAATCATGCATATGGGATTTTTACTCCACCTTAAATTAGGCAAAAACTTTCTGGGAGTGCACAGAAAGGCCTGCAGAACTAGGAGGGTATCAGATTGTCAACAGATTGTCAGCAGATAGAAGGACGGCAGTATGGCTTATGGGAACGGCAGAACCCAGTCAATTACCCAGTCCCAACAGCTGGCCCAGACACACCAGCTAAACCCATCATTGCCCCTCACATAGCCACACAACTCAAAGAAATGCACATCGCTATTACAAAGAGTTTCAGTTCAATAAAAAGAGACAAGGTGTAGCAGTTGATTAGCTGTTACAGGAAAACGTGGCTGCTGAGTGAACATAGAGGATGTAAATGTTGTCAATTAGGACACATGGAGGACAAGAAGCCTTTTTTTAAATCTTCCTTATTCAAAAGTCTATGCCCTAGCTGGGTGAAGATAAAGGTACAAAACAAATGCACTTTACTGCCATCATGTCAGTGAGAAAACAGCTGCCTAATGATAGCCCATGTCAATCAATGTACTGTGTATGTGTATGTGTGTGTAAATGGGTTCAATATGAGTCTATACTTTGCATAATTTGCATTCATGTATGTGTTTAGAATATTTCACATTTGCTTTTGCGTAGGTTTTATGTTTTCCATTTGCCCTATTATAGTAATTATTGTATTCTTTGGTTGATCAATGTTTGATTTATGTACAGTGTGTCCTTGTTTTTTAATTGTCTTGTTTTTTTACATTGTGCCCTACACTTGGTTTTGCAGCAACCGCTAATATCCAGTCATGCAATTAAAGTTGAATTTTAATTTGAGACAGAGAAAGAGAGAGAGAGAGAGAGAGAGAGAGAGAGAGAGAGAGAGAGAGAGAGAGACCCTTGCAATCAACATTAGTGCATTGATTGTGGTTAGAGGCTATTGTGTATGAGCAGGATCACCAATCACCATATACTGTTACTTTGCCATGTCCTCCTCAGCGCTGTGCTATTACATCATTTAGCCACACCTCCTTTTAGACCCCATTTTCTGAACTCATATTAGAGTCTCATCTCGCCATGTATTTGACATCAAAGGGACGCAGTCTATAGCATGTAGTACAAAGGGGGAGGGATGCTTCATTTGAGTCTCATTGGATTTCCCCAATCCTTCTCTCTCTCTCTCTCTCTCTCTCTCTCTCTCTCGTGTGTCCCTCCCTATTGGAACTTGAGGCTACTGGGTTGTGATAGAGTGGGGGGTTAGGTACACTATGTTCCCTGGGTAGCTTATTGCAGTGATATTTCACTGCTAAAAGATTTTTTGCAGGACATGATTACAATGAGGGTGAGGATGACATGGCATATATAATCAGATGCTCTTCAGTTTCTAATCCCAAAGCCTTAATCCTAAACTACAATATTGATTTACGGTGATGTTTTGTTGTTTGTATTGTGTTTTGTTTTTGTTTCATTTGTGGTTAACATACAGTACTTGAGCCAAGTGTCCTTGCACCCAGTGTCCTTCCACTCTCAGTCATTGTTTGGATCCCTTTAACCTTGGGTTATCTCTTTGTGGGTCTTGGGTTATCCCAGCAGGAGGCCAATGCCCGCCAGTGTTTCTGGCTGGTCCATGGCGTGTGTAACATACAGTAGAAAGAGAGAGAGGGGTGATGGGAAGGAGAGTAGAGACGAGGCAAGTCAGGGACGGGTTACACAGCACTCGGTCCCAGCAGGGATCCTCCATATGGGCAGCCAGGCAAAGCTGAGAGCAGGTGATTTGTCAAAGTGAGTGTCCATGGCCTAGGCCGCTGGTTCACCTATCACAGCACAGTGGGAGGTTTCTCCAGCCGTGTGTTGAAGGAGGCACCGGCTAAACCCACCAACACACTGGCTCGGATGTTCTGTGCTCTGCTGAGGAAGGTGATTCTATTTGTTTTATGCCTGAGTGTCCTGACTGCAACTGGCTGTCTCAAGGAAGCCCATTTTGGTTTTTGATCGAGTGATAGATTGCTTAGGATTGCAGTGATTTGTTTTCATTCTGCGCTACCACACTGAGACAACAAGGAGAGGGACACAGACAGAAAAATACCATCTATATGTGTTTGGCTATGCATGCAGTTGTTTTTTTCCCAGACAGACAGTGAGAGAAACCACATCAGTCACATCGTATTTCACTCGCAGTTTTCCCTTTGACCCAGAGGCACGGCACGTTGGGCATTTTGACAGTAAATTGGACACAGGAGATCAGTCTTCACCCATAATGACTCTTCTGCCGACAGCAAAGCAACTAGTCCATTAGTAACGGAGAGAGGTAGAGACGCAAGGCAGGCTCTGCAATCTATTTATTTCTTTCATTAGTCCCTTGTTTACATTTTCTGGAACAGACAAGAGAGAAAGAGGAGAGGAAGAAGGACGGCTAGACTAAAGAGGGGAAAACACTGTGTGTAAAACTGCTGACTCTGAAAATCCCTCACACTTTATATAGATGCTTGATGTACATTAAAACACATTTATTATAGATGAAGGTGCAACCCCAGTTCTATTGCCCATCTTTTACACGACTACAATTTAGCTCATCTCCCATATGGCAATCTGTATTCATGCTTGAACCTCACCTCAATGAAGTCTTTGTGCGGCGCTTATCAATGTCATGTCACAGTTCATTGCAGCTGTATCGCTCACATAGTTTAAACTGGGAGAAACAATAGCTCAGTGAATACACAGTTATTGGCCCTGATGAGAGTCACATGACAATACCACAGATAAAATGTGTCCGATTGCAAGCTCTGCTTCCTATGTTAATGAATTGGTAACATTACTATAAATAGTGTATGGAGAACATATAGCCCTGTTATTTAAGATGACCTTCAACCTACTGCATCTGCTGATGTTAAGCAGGTATAATGTTTACCATGCTCAGAATCTTAGTTCAGCGTGTTACCATGCTAACATTTGCAAATTAGCACAAATCTTAATGTACAGCTGCTGATGGGATGGATGATGGGTAATTAGTTATAGTATTGGACAAATTCAAGTTCTGACTCAATGATGGTGCTAGATGAAAGGTTAAGGAATCACCACAGTTTATTCTGAAGACAAGTGAACAGGAATGTGTACCACATTTTTCATGGTGTCCTATCCAAACACGTGCTAGAGGAAAAGTCAGGGGATCACCATAGTGAGTAGGATTCATCATCTTGAGATCAGGAATGTCAGCACAAAATTCCCAAAAGCTAATAGCACAACATTTACATCCAATAGTTCTGAAGATATTTTAGTCTGGATCAAAGTGGTGGACAGATTTTCATACCAACACCACCATCCCTAGAGTCACACTAGCATGGCTGAAAATAGGTTGAAACTTGACCAGGCTTCTTTAGTGAAAATGTGCCCCATAAAGTTCACAGTAAGATCTAAACTCACAAGGGTAACGTTCGGAGTTTAGAGGCTATGAGCACACTGGACAGGGTACATGACAAGAGCACACCCTAAGGCTTTAAAGAGACAGTCTGTGACAAAAGGAACAGTTGACAGTGGCATCACAGGGTTCATCTCTGTTCTCATCTCCAGTTAAATGTTTATGGGAGAAAAGGTCAACTGCTTCTGCAATTTAGTCTCATGTGTGTCACGCGTGGAGTCAGACACAGGTTTCCAGACCGTTGATGTGCCTATTAGGACATAAAACTGGATGTTTTGCTTTTTCTGGGAACAACCTGTTTTTTAAGAGTGTTGTACTGTGAATGCACTCAGCTCTGTTAGAGTAATTGCTAAATGGAGTGGGATTGTCAATCTGTATTTGAGGGGAAATTAGTGGCTCGGAAACAGATTGTTGCTGCTGAGTGAAAGAAAACCTTGTCTGTCCACTTTTTAGGAATTTAGAAAAACAGGCTTTATTTTCAGATTGTGCCTTTTTGAGTTTATTTATTGAGAAGTTTCTGACACTCAAATGCCAGAGGATTTTTTAAAATCACAATTAAAACATGAAAATCACACATACTGAAGTTACAAGGTCTCAACCTCAACAATACAGGAAAAAGTAAGCAGTCCAGAAATCTGTTTTAAAACGCTCACAGATTATTAACAATGTGTGGGACGGACTCAAAAACCCATTCAAATGTGTCTCAAGTCAAATCCTCATCTGTATGTGGAGCGTGTGGCAGTTACCTTGTCTTTAGCTGCCTGAGAGGACAGGAGAAGAGCAGAGGGCAGCATGGGAGATCAGTGGGGCATGTGGCTGTGGTCGAACGCTGAGTCGTGCTGAGACTCACAGCTGCTCCCTCTCAGAGGTAGGAACACAAAGGGCCTTTGATAGACTGTCACTGTGCGACTGATACACCAGACCTCCCGGCCCCCCCTCCCAAACACTCGCAAACAATCACCTCCCAGAGACCACATAACTTCATCCCCACACCTCCGGGGCTCTACACTGCAGTTTCTGGTTCACATTTACAGCGTCATCGCAGCTGCGGAGAGCACCGTCTCCCAACCACTCATCACATTTCAGGGCTCTTAATCCAGTTCTGCAAAGGAAATGAGTGCAAAGCATCCTGCGCTGTTGGGTGGGGTGTGCTTTTGTCTTGGTGGGAGCTGAGTAATGTGATTAAGATCCATGCTGGAGTGCTGCACATTCTGCCCGTGGAGCTGACTGGAAGAAGTGCCAGTAAACAAGCGCTCCTTTCTCTTTGCTTCGTCCTTGCTGATTGAGGCTATGGGGCCATGCAGGGTGGGCGGTCAAAGGAAATGTGCTTCCAGTCTGTCTGTCTGTCCTGTTTTAATGTTTAATCACCAAACCTGGACCACAGACTGATCTGGATAATGATCAACTTTTTTGTTGACTCGCTCAAGGCTATACAGTGGGCACGCTCAGCATGAGTAGGCTACAATATTCATAGTCTCTTATATAACCATCTCTGCATATGATAAAATCAAGAAGCAAGTGTGATCTACAGAGATACATACAGGGCACTCTTTCTATTTGCAGGGTTTTCTTCGACAAAGAGTGATGAGCCAAGAACACAAGGCTGCAAACGGTCGCATCCTATTTTAGTTTTCGCTGTCTAATAGCTATATTTATCACGCTCTTCCCACAAGATAGCTAAGGAACCTCAACACCTTCAGAGCGTCTGAACAAAACTTCCTCTGCCATGTTTTCATCAACTGTACATTAGCTACCGAGCATTAATACAGCTCATATCCCCCCCCCGAAATGCACCTGACAGTCGACACAAACATTTGTGATGCTTTCAGTGATGCTTTCGTTTAAATCAGTGGTACTGAGAAACTGGCTGCAGGGAGAGGAGAACAAAGAGCAAAGCAGTTGCCTTTGAATGATGGATGAAGAAGGCCATCAGTGAAATTGTTTGCGCTGATTTGATGCCTATTAGCGTGCATACGTGTGTGCGTGCTGTGCATGATTGGATGATTAAATTTGATTGTGTGTGTAAGGGGGGGGGTTGAAGAGAGACAGAGACAATGGGTACGATCATTAGTGTGATCCACTTCATTTGATCAAAAGGTCCATTTTGTGCAGTTTGTTCATGGACTTTTCTTTCGTTTTACTTACTGATTGTTCAAACACTGTAACAGGCGCTAACATGCTCATCGCGGATTTTTAATTTGTTGTCAGTTGGCACATTTAGGGTGTCTGACTCCATCTGAGCTTGCAATTAAAGCAGCTATATTTTTCCCTACTAGGATCAGTTTGACCTATTTGAAAGTTGGCACTTCTGAAAATCAGCAATAACTTTTCTGTTGCAGTATTTTCTTTTTTTCTTTCGGCTTCAGCAATTTGACCGAAATGCTTGTGCAAACCAAATGTGTTTTTCAGACAAAACTAAGCTAGCCCCTTTCTCACAGCCCCACTGATTGTTTCTACTGTATGTATTTGTACAAACACTTCAGAGTGCTCGCAGATGATCTATAGCATACTTTACTAGCATGTATACACCTTGATCCTGTCAGCTTTCTCCATTTGTTTCCATTTGTTAGTCCTTCTACCTGGTCATATTGATTTTCCCATAGCTGTCTGCCAGTAAGTGCTGTCTGAGTCCAGCCATATCTGAAAGCTGGCCAGAGTGATCTAGAGGGACAGCAGGAAGTCCAATACATTTACTGAAAGCACTTCCCCTGTCGATCCCTTCCTTGAACTGATTGTATGGAAATGAAGGTCTGTTAAAGCCTTCCTGATTTAACCACCCTTTGGGACATGATGTACAGACAAGAATATATGGATGTGCGCCAACAAACATAAAGATACTGAAGAGCACTCTGTCATAAACACGTGAATAAAATGTATACTGCCATCATCACAGCAGAAAAAAAACTGGCTCTAAGCAGTTTTCTCTCCTCTTCATTTAGTCTGCCACACAGCGTCAAGGCGAGCCTGTCTCTTTCTCCATCTGGGCCCGGACGGGTGGGCAGCGGTGGGGGCTCCCCTACATCCAAGATGGGCTACTGCGGAGGGGTGCCTGTGGAGGACATGCAGGCGCTGGCCATCACCTCTCTGTCTGCAGCAGATGTAGCCAAACAATATGAGCACATACGTGAGCTTGGGAAGGGCACGTATGGCAAGGTGGACCTGGTGGCACATCGTACACAGGGTGAGTTAGTTGGGGCATCAAGGATTAAAACTGCGGCTGAAGATCTTTATCCTCTAATTCTGTTTTATTCGTTTATCTTGACTGACAACTATCTAATAAAGCATAAATACAAAAAAAGAACCTCATATCTCTAAATCCACATTGTGCCAGAATGCCTCACAGTTGAGGATAACCAGTTAAGGCAGATCAGCGTGTTATAAAGTCTCAAGGCACAGTGCAGAGAAATTAATTTCAGCACAGTTAAAAAGGTTTTCTAAGGACTTTTTTTTTAAGGCCTACTGTTTAGTCCTTGGTTGTAAGAAAATCAAGGTTAGAGAGCTGGCTTAGTCTGAAAGCGGTATAACTCAGCATGGTAAAGTAGTGCAGAGAGAGAGGCTGAGAGGGCAGCAGAGATTAGAAGTGCTGTGTGCTCACTAAAGAGCCTGTGTATTTCTGCAGCTGTGATCACGAACAACTGGTTATATGCGTGTAATGGAGGTGAGATTCATTCACTGTTACTGTTTATATGAATGAATGTAGCAGCTGTTACAAAGACAGGGTTGGGTAGTTGGAAATCTCTCCACGCCCTTAGACTATCAGGTTACAGAATTCACTTTGAGTGCTTTGGACAGTAAAAAGTTACTAATCTGATACACCAATGCTTCACTGTGTCCGTCCATGTTTATGTCTGATTTTTGCAGGCACCAAAATGGCACTGAAGTTTGTTACCAAGAACAAGACGAAGCTCAAGAGTTTCCTGCGGGAATACAGTCTAACTGGCTCACTTAGCTGCAGCCCTTTCATTATCAAAGTCCTGGACGTGCTTTTTGAGACAGAAGACAGCTATGTGTTTGGACAAGAATATGCCCCCGCCGGGGACCTTTTCGACATCATCCCCCCACAGGTAAAGCTATCATCCTTCCTTCCACCAATCACCATCCTCACTCAGCCAGAGCTGCTCCAATCAGTCGCCATGTTCAGACAAGGCGGTTTTAACAAGCTCTCCTGGGATTGGAGCCTTGTCTTCGTCCCGGTTTTCTCTCTCTACATGGAGCTCTCACTTTGCTTTAGTGCTATTCCAGTTTATGTGCTGGGAGTGCTTGACTTCAAGGTTCTTCTAAAGACTCATTAGAAATGGTTGCAGCGGAGACCAAAACTAAGACACTTTTGTCTGTTTTGGAGCGTATCACTTTCCACCCTGTACTTTTGTTCCTCTACTCAGTATAACCATCACCTATTCTTTATAACAGCACTGTAATCTACTCTCCACAAAGCTCTTTTCTTGTATCACCTCCCATAGTCTCACCTCCTACACAATGTACTGCATCTATTAGACTGCATTAATCAAAATCTATTTTTCTCTCTTTCTGTGTCCCGACACTACCCTTCACTCTCTCTACTTCTCAGGTGGGTCTGCCAGAGGAAATGGTCAAACGCTGCATGCAACAACTGGGCCTAGCCCTGGACTTTATGCATAGTAAAAACCTAGTGCATCGGGATGTGAAACCTGAGAATGTGCTCCTATTTGACCGTGAGTGCCGTCGCATCAAGCTGGCCGACTTTGGTATGACCCGACGCGTGGGCTGCCGTGTGAAACGGGTGAGTGGCACCATCCCCTATACGGCACCAGAGGTTTGCCGTGCTAGCCGTGCTGAGGGTTTTCTCGTGTCCACCAGTCTGGATGTGTGGGCATTCGGTGTGCTGGTCTTCTGTATGCTGACAGGCAATTTCCCCTGGGAGGCAGCGCTGCCAGCCGATGCTTTCTACGAGGAGTTTCGGCGCTGGCAGAAGGCAGGGTGTCCTGTGGGAACCTACCCATCTCAATGGCGGCGCTTCACTGATGACGCCTTGCGCATGTTTCAGAGGCTTCTCGCTTCCGAGCCGGAAAAACGCTGTGGAGTCAAGGACGTCTTCTGCTTTGTCAAGTACGAGCTTGTCAGCGAGCTCAGGCGCAGAGCATCTTGCCGAGCCAAGAGAGGTGAGAGGTCAAGCTCTGGAGTGTGTACCGGCAGTTGCACTTCCTCTTCATCCTCCACTTCATCACGTTCCTCCCACAGACACCCCGAGCCCTCCACCCCTCCAGGAACGTCCTGCCTGCGTCCGGCACCTCTCAAACGTAGTGTGCTCTCCGACCCTTTGTCTCCCAGAGAGGAGTCTGGACAGCACCAGTCTCCAGGCCGAGACAAGAACAAAAGCCAGATGGTGATGGCAACTGCCATCGAAATTTGTGTGTGACCATGCTAATGTTTGCAGTGTAGACTAGATGGCTTTTCACAGTACTAACAAGCTGTGAAGAGGTGTTAATGACTACCACAGAGACTCTAGTGAAAAAGGAGAGGTACTTTAACCATGAAAGAGAAGCTCAGGATCACATCCCCGGCTGTGGAAATGGACATCATCAATCAGCGGTATACACTTGGACAGCTTATCACGGGCACATGCCGTTTAGGTTTTGATTTGTGACCAAAGACTACTTCCCAAGCTGAGAAGCCATGCAGGCAGTGTTTAAGAGTCCGCTGATGTTGTTCCTCTCAGCAGCTCATTCTGCCATCCAGACATTTGTGTTTCTGCCCATACACTGTGGTGGTGCTAATGATTTGATAATTAGATACTCCATAAAAACTGATTCTGTCTTTTCTCACTCATCACTCTGTGTCTCCCTACTTGTTTTTATGTTATGCCTCTTTGATAGTGTTTATTTATCTCAGAATTATAAGCTCCGGGGAGGCCAAAACTTCATCTGTTCAGGTGATGCTGTTCATTCGAAGGCCGGTGATCCGAGGGCAATCTCCGCAACTGCATTTGACTGCATTTCTCAGACCTTCTGCCAACTTCCAGTGCATAAAATTTGTCCTAGACTTTTTCAAAAGAAAGTGTTATAAAGAAAAAAACAAGAAATCTTAATGTAGCAGTTTGTATGAGATGTCTTTTCATGTAGGTGTCTAGACTTAGTGATAGGCGTCAGCTCAGGACACTTCAGTGGGTCACTTCCTGTTTTATTATTAACGGAAATCTAGTGAATAGCTGGAAGACACATCTGCCACTTTTAAACTTCTCCCAATGAGATTCATTTCCAACGTAACACAATAGAACACAGGGATTGTACATTTTCTGAGTGAAAAAGGTGGTGAACAAAGAAGAGGAGTCTTTTTATTGTTTCTTTTCTACCTGCTGTGTTTGTTTGGATGTGTGTGTTTCAATGCTAAAGCACAAGACTTTTGTAAAGGTAAAGTGAAAACTATATTGTAAATAATTTGATATTTCTAGGAGTGCATCGTTAAATCAGGTAGTTCAACTATGTAGCGGTACAAATTTTCTATGAAAGGGAAAGGTGTTTTAGGGTTTTACAGTTACTGTCGGGGCAATGCACTGTATGTAGCAACAAAATATGACAGAATGTACAGTATATCACAACAAATTAATTATACAGAAATATGATCTAGAGTCTATCACAAAGTATAACATAGTAGCAGCTGCTGTTCTCTTTTTTCTTATATTGTTTTGGGTTTCATTCAAGTTTTCTTGTCCCAGGTATGACACACACATTGGTGAATAGACATCACTCATTTTTGTATTTTCCTGTCACCATAACCTTGAGCAACATCCATTTCCTGTGTAAAATCTTCATGCTTCCTGGTTGTCAATGAGCACAGCCCATTCTGTCTTCATTCAATCCGTTAAAGCGACTGAGGGCTGGTCGGCACCAAACAAATTAATTTCCGAGCATCACAAAAGGTGTTCAGATATTTGATTATCAAGGAGAGGCCGACTGCTCAGAATATGTTGCTTCACCCCCTATGCTCACCTTTTATTAAATCTTCCTGCCTCTCTCTGGGAGTTCATCCAACTGTATCAGTCGAATAGCAGAGCCCAGGTGTTTATTGTCTGGAGGGATGACCTCTGTGTCAGCCATTGCTGTTCTGAGAGCTGATGATTGATCCTGACTGGCGCACAGCTTCCAAAGATATACTGCTAATTATTAAAGCGTCTAAAAAGCTCAGTATGTTCAGTGTGAATGCTTCAGTGCATGCTCATTACCATTATTTTTCTTGCTTGAATTGTGTTACTGTTATGTCAGTCAGGTGTGTGTGTGTGTGTGTCTCTCTGTCTGTCTGTCTGTCTGTGTGTGTGTGTGTGTGTGTGTGTGTGTGTGTGTGTGTGTGTGTGTGTGTGTGTGTGTGTGTGCGTGAACGTGTGCTTCTTTTCACTTTCCTTATTTCCCCACTCCTCCCATGACAGCCCATCAGCTCTGTCGCTATAGTGACAGTGCCGGTGCTCCTCTGGTGCGGCTTCTGTCCTCTTCTTGAAAATCAAGTCTAATTGAGCCCAAATGAAACAACTGGTCACCAACCCCCCTCCCAGTCACCCACAGCTCCTCTTGACAGTTGCCTAGCTTATTATACTCAATAACACATTTCGGCAGATACACATTTCCCCTTTTTTTATGAGCCTGTTCACGATCGAAGTCTTTATCCAGTCTCATCAGGCATAATCGAAGCTGTTGATGGTCCCTATCATTTCCCTTGTCTCTCTCCATCCTCACTCTTGACTCTGCAAAGGTGACCTGACTGAGGCTGAAGACTTGTCAAAGGGATGTATTGTATGTCTCATAGGATCTGTCAAAAGGTAATCCATCATTAGATTGTGGTGGAATGTGAATTAGCTCTGCCCTATATCTTGCTATTCTGCCTGTGGGATAATGTAGGATCCAAATAGTAGAAAAAGACGATGATGGTGTGCATAAGGTAATATAAAGTAAGACAACTCAACATAATGCAATTCAATGTAACTTCATGCAACATACTGTAACTTAATGCAACGCTCCGTTATATACGGCAAAACGCATAATAACATGAGCCAATCATAACCCGGTGCAACATAATGTGAACCAACACAACATGACATGACTCCTTTATAATAGTATGTTATTATTCTTTATAATATTACTTTATGTATTGTTTATAATTTATGTATACATGTAGCCCCCAACTTGATGAGTAAGAGTGTTCTGATGTGAGCAGCTGTGGCTTTGTTAGACATCATCGTCATCAGCATCTTTACACTATTATCAGTCGTTTCAATGTGCAATGTTGTTTCTCATGGACTGTTATGGCAGGAATTGTCAAGTTTAATGATGATGTGTCAATTTATATCAAGTTTTATTGAAGCTCTAGAGAGTAGCCTTCCGTTGATCCAATTTATTCTGATCCAATGATCAGACTGTTTTCTGCCAGCAAGTGTTGTTGTAGAATCTTATGTAAATACTGAATGTATTGTGTCTTTAACAAAACAAAACAAAAAAAAAGAATCAACAAAATGTTAATATATGTTGAAATAAATTTATGCACCACATCTTATGGCTCCAAGGTATTTCTGTGGGTAATTAGAAATACTGTGGTGGTATTTTTTTCTGCCAGCGTAGGCAAAGCTAATTCAGCCCAGCTTTGCATGGTCCCCATACTGCACATTAGATGAAGGTCAGCTTGAATCACATGTGATTTCCCGAGGCTTTGGTCTGGTTCACCAGCGAGCCCCCAGACTATTTTAATATGCCGACTTCCTTCTGAAAGCCCAATTAACACATCTGGAGATAGGAGTTATCTGCTGCCCCCAAAGAGCAAATGAGTTCAAGGGCACTTAGAATATGGGACTGAAGATGAGAACAGTTATCTGCTCACCGCCCCTTCATACTCAGCTGTTGTGTCAATGTGGAGGAGTTTGCTCAAGTTGTTATCAGACAGAGTTTAGACAGTAGCGGTAAGCTGTGGTGTATCTGCCACTGAGGAAAGCTAATCAGTTCAGACAGTGCAAAAGAAAGGAAAGGTCAGCCATGACACACAGAGTTTGTGTAGTGAGTGGAAGCTTGTCCTTTGTGATACTCGTTCTCTGCCATTAAAGGGCTACAGCAGCCTAGTGGCAGGGTAAGAGTCCTAATTGTGTTAGCCCCAACGCTCAGCTGAGAAGATGGACGATGCTGAACTCAGGCTGAGCCAAAAAGTGGACGCATTTAAAGTAGGATACACTAGACTACACACAATGTGTCAGGTCATCCAAATTACAAAAACACACACATTTCTCCCTTGTGGTATCTACAATTTTCTGGTTAAAGCATCAAAAAAAGAAAAAAAGAAATGGACATAATACTCGACAGCAACAATGAGTTTCTAAGGATAACTGACAGATAAATTGCAGATATCTACATAACTATCTACATGGCTTGTAGGAAAGATATATACATATATTTTCCAATTGGGCTAAACTGACCCCATCCCTGTGAAGGTTCAGCAATGCTGGATTATTCCTTAGCTGCAGCTTTTTAAAAGACCGCTGGCTAAACCAAATTGATTCCCAGGACTGGAGGAATCTGGATGCTAAGCCTTCAGTAGGTGGCCCAGAGCGTGGACAGCAAGGAAAGTGATCTCTCCCTGGATGCAGCTGTCTCCATGAGATCAAGTGTTAAATCCTCCTCGGCTATGCTCTCTCAGCAAGGGCTAATGTCGGCAACATTAGGTGGCCGTGTGGGTGATGGAGACTCCATTTTCTGTGCTGAATCATGTCAGTATATCTCCACTGTCAATTCCCAGTTTTCACCATGATCTCTATGATGTACCTCTTGGACAAATATGACAACATTTCTAGTAAGTGCCAGCTGAAACTTCCGAAAACAACCCCCACTCGTACTTTCAAGTTGATGTTATCACAGCATGAAATGTGTGATAGAAAAAACAGGCTGTCAAATCCTTGTAGCTTCTCCGGGGTGTATGAATCAAAGTGAACTCGGAGAAAAATAAATAATTCAAGAGCTCTTGCAGTACGCACTCCAGGTTTAGCTGAATTGTTTAACATTTTAAAGATAATTTTAATGAAACAAGTTAATCCTAAAATTTGTATGTAGCTTTTAATCTTGGACAGAGAGTGTTCAGCTCAAACGTCTGTCTGTGCATGGAGCTCACAACCATCAAGCTCTGCCTGGTAATACTTGAAATACTGTATATGTTTTCTAAAAACTCTCTCACAGTTGAATATGGGGACACATTTGTGCAAACAGAGGTCACAGGGATGTAATTACTGAACATTTTGGTCTCGCTGGTGAACAATAAAAAGATGCAGCTGCTGTGTCTTTACATAAACCACCTAATGTGGGTTTCTTAAAAGGACATTCAGCTGTGCAAGTGGGCTAACAAGTACAGGCGAAGCATTCTGCAGGTTGAATGAATAGTAAACAAAGAACAGGGGTATTTTTAAGTTTTCTAAGTTGCAGACTGCAGAGTAACATATTTTCTGCTAATTTTAACACCACAGGGAACATACTGTACAGTATTAAACCTCCTGCGTCACCTCAGCTTCCTGCCTCTGCACCTAGAGATGAATCACTCTGAAACCGTCAGATGCACCATGAACTATTCTTCTGTCCCTGATATATTTTGCAAAACAGCTGCAGGCGTGACGCTGGAAATTCAGCCGAAGATTCGAAAAGTCGGAAACTCGGATAGTGATAGTGATCTCAGCAGGGGCTGACTGTGAAGGGATGTTCCTCGCTCTCCTTCAGATCTAGACTCAGGCGTTGTGTGAAATAGTGTCTGATCGCAGCTGGAGAGCCGGGAAGAGAAAGGAAAAGAGAGGAAAAGAATGCCAGAGTAGACAGGAGAGAGAGGGGTACGAGCAGGAGGGGATGTGTCAAGTGGGACAAATGTGTTTGTGTGTGTGTTGAGAAGGAGTCACACAAGGACAAAGTGGGTGTATGCCAAGCAAGGTACATTCAGAACCGTGGAGTCATTAGAAAATAACCTTGTTTATCCTAAATTTGTTCTGTTTTTAGGGCACTGCAAATCTGTATTCCACTGTATGTGTGTCACCTGAGGTTTGCCACTAAATTTTGTCAGTGCCAGACATAAACTCTCAGACAGTATGTGGTCGTCTTCCACCATTGCTATAGCAACGGAGATGATCCCAGTTTAGACAAGCTCTGAAATCTTTTTCTTGTTTTAGAAACCAGCACCACATTTCCCTGCCGCGGAGCAACTGTTCAGTATGAGCACTTACTGAGTGTGTGATTGTGTGTTTTGTTTCTGTTCTTAATACTGAAACATTTTGTTCTTTATGTTAGAGTGGGCGTTCTGTCTCCAGCAAGGATGGCTCATTAAGCTGGAGGATGCCTGTTTGTGCTGCATTTTATCATATATCAACCCGTAGAACACAACTAGCTTCCTCTGCACAGCATCGAGTGCACTCTATACAGACAACAGGCTACAGTTAAGAGAACTGTATGCAGGCTGACTGTATTAGGTAATGGGTAAGTTTTATGATTATGTTTCAAAACATAACTACTGAGCAGACTGCCACATGAAATCTGATTTCCAGTGGCTGATACATAATGAACCCAATAACCCTTTGACCTTGACTGTAGCACCACTTTGAAGGGAAGATTGTTCATCAAATTTGCTGTGGATACTCATGATCCATAGAGTATGAATCATAATGTTACCTCTTCATCTTTCCTCTAGTGGCAAAATATGCAAAGGAAAATGTAAATCTAATTGGAAGATTGCCAGAAAATTCACATTCTCCCACAGCTACAACCTTTGCATTGGCCACTGTCAAATTTACATACAGTATATGATAATCTAATAGGAAGATTTTAGATTGTTTTAAATGCACTATACTGCAGTGTAATTAAGGGATCCTGAAATATGCACAACCCATTATTAAAACATCAGGTGTTTATGTGAGCCAAGAGACTAAACATTGTAAACATAACTTTAAGAGGCAGGTTTGCTTGATTAAAATATCATGTCATATGCTCAGATGGCCACAAAACTGCGTCTTAATCCTGTTTTACTGCTTGAATTCAGAAATCACATTTGAATTCTGTCAATCATAAATAATCCTGTTGTTCACACTGTGGAGACTGTTGTGGCTGAAAATGAATCACGACCCCAGGAAGCTTCATATTTCCATTCATATTCATACTATCACCACTCAGGGCAGAAATTATCCCTGCATTTTTATGCCTGAATGTGTTCTGCCTACTGCCACGAGACCTGCGTGTGCCACCCACCAACATCTGTCATCTGCTGCATGGTTCAGCTCTTCCAGATCTTTACCTCCAGCATTAAGGACTAATCCACCATGTATCACCAATCTGTGATATTCTACTTCCACCATGCTTAATGGTATGTCTCTATACACCAGACAATCTTTAGACGCATGGCTGAAAGTTGAATGGCAATGAAGAACAAACACAAGCATGAAAGCAAACACAAAAAACACATCAAAACAACAACAGCTGGTGCTTTTTAGACCCGTGATTCCTTTATCTTTGCTTAGAAACCATTTGAGAAGAAAACAGATTGATCACCGTCAAGAAAGGTTTTTTGATCTGATTTTTTTAAATTGAAATAGACTCATTAAGGTCTTCTTTGTATCCTTTGTTAGAAAGTCCAAGAGAAGTTTGAGTTGAGGGTCATAAAAACTTAGATAGATAGAACTAAGTGTTTTTATATAATAATATCACAATATCAAATAAATATTTGCCAGTCTTATTAAGCTACTATAATGCTTGGCTTGATACAGGGAAAGTTAAACTGAATTGGGGTTCAGGGTACAGTAAAGTAAATGCAAAGACTGGAAGGATATTTACATATTGATGAGAAGTCCTCAACTAATACATGTATCACTATAATGCAAGATTTCATTATTCTGAGAAAGACCCATAGGAATAACATAACACACATAACATATTTTCTAGCTGAGAAAAAGGAAAGGTCATTCAATGTGTGACTAGTTTTAGGTCTTCCACACAGCATGACGTTCATTTTGTATATTAGGGCACCATTTAGAGTAACATAGACAATAAAGCATGGTAAGTTATTCTCGGGCTTCATATTTACTGTATGATATTGATCCTCTCATCTTACTGTCAGTGAGAAAGTGAGTAAGTACATTTCCCAAAATGTCAAACTATTTCTTTAAGCATCAAAGCTACGTATGCTGGAAATGTTGACATATTAGAATGATCTCATAAACTTACATCAGCGTAGTCTCAATGGTATTTAGAGCTTTTTTATGGTAGCCTACACATTTTGTAAGCAGTTTCCTTAACACAAATACTTTTCTTCACCAAGGGAGAAGGCAAACCCCATAGCTCATCTTGGAGGTCAGCACTAGCAATACTGAGACAGACATGCTGAAACACAACAAAATAATCAATCATAACCCAAAACTTTTTTTTTTTTTGCCTGTAAACAGCACAACTCCCTTTTGGGTTGCGGTAAACAATAGCATCGTCCGCATGTCATTGCCAGCTTGTAAATTGCAAAGACCCCAGGGATGCTGCTCAAGCGCTTCTCATA